CAGCAATCTGCTTAATGACTACCATAAGAAACTATATAATTACATTTATTTAACCAATAAGTGGGTGAGTCAAAAAAAAAAAACAACCACAATCCTGTGCACTTTTAAAAACTTAAACTTAAAAAACTTACAATAAAATACTTTATTTGGTATAAACCTCCATGGCTCTCAGCCTACTTCATTATATCCCTGGGGTGTTATCTCAGTAGCACTACCATTATAAAGAAGTGAGAAGGGAGAGATGAGAAATTTAATAGAAAGGCAAAAAATTCTGACATGGTGACAATTTTAACAGCGGTTGGTGTGTCACTCAATGGTCACTGCCAAGTAATATGTGCATCTAAGCATAAGTAAGTGGATTACTATATGTCTGTGGTAAAGAACGGGACGTGGTGGCACTGCAGGTTAAACTGCAGAAGCCTCTGTGCTGCAAGGTCAAAAGACCAGCAGTCATAAGATCGAATCTACGTGACAGAGTGAGCTCCCATCACTTGTCCCAGCTCCTGCCAACCTAGCAGTTCGAAAGCACATAAATGCGAGTAGATAAATAGGTACCACCACGGTGGGAAGGTAACGGCGTTCCATGTCTAGTTGCGCTGGCCACGTGACTACAGAAACTGTCTACAGACAAAATGCTGGCTCTGTGGCTTGGACACAGGGATGAGCACCGCGCCCTAGAGTTGGACACAACTGGACTAAATGTCAAGGGGAATCTTTACCTTTACCGATGGTGAAGAAAGGTATTTGTCTAAGCCAAGTGTAAGAGAAGAACGTAGCCTCCAGAGATACATACAGTATATCACAGAAGTAAGTACACCCCCTCACATTTCATAAATATTTTAGTATATCTCTTCATGTGACAACACTAAAGAAATGACACTTGGCTACAATGTAAAGCAGTGAGTATACAGCTTGTATAACAGCGTAAATGTACTGTCCCCTCAAAATAATGCAACACAGAAGAAGACAGGTGCGTAGGGCAAAGTTTATGATGCATGTACAGTATATTTACTCAGTATATACAGAAAATGAAATTGGGGAGCAGAGGGGTTAACGAGGCTGGAGTCTCTGACTCCAAAGGGGGGAGGGGTTAGTTTAACTTGAGGGGTTAGTTTTGGGTTTTTTTTCCTTTTTTCCCCTTTCTTTTTCCTTTTTTTCCTTGTCTCTTATTTGTCTCGCTTTTTTTCTGTGTAAAAGAGATGTTTCAGCAGGGAAATGGAATTCTTAAGCATTCCATAAAGGTTTTCTAGAATTTTCCAAAGATGAACAGTTTCCTACGAAGTGGCTTTTAAAATCCTTTTTCAACCAAGGTGAGATTTTTTTGTACCATCTAGAAAAGGCTTTAGATTGAATACTAGATTTTATTTTATACTGAATCTGTAGTGCTTGTGCATTTATTTGGGAGTAAGTCCCTTTGAACTCCATGGAGCTGGCTTCTGAAAAATGAGCTGTCAGGATACATAAGCTAAAAATAAAATGCAAATATTTATTTGCTTTAAAAAAATAATAATGCAACACACAGCCATTTATGTCTAAACCGCTAGCAATAAAAGTGAGTACATCCCTAAGTGACAATGTCCAAATTGGGCCCAGGTAGCCATCTTCCCTCCCTGGTGTCATGAGACCCATTAGTGTCACAAGTCTCAGGTGTGAATAGCTAGCAGGTGTTATCGCTCTCACTCTCTGAGACTGGTCACTGGAAGTTCCACATGACACTTCATGGTAACGAGCTTTCTGAGGATCTGAAAAAATGAATTGCTGCTCTACATAAAGATGGCCTAGGCTGTAAGAAGATTGCCAAAACCCTGAAATGACCAAGACAGTACAGCGGTTTAACAAGACAGGTTCCACTCAAAACAGGCCTCGCCATGGTTGACCAAAGAAGTTGAGTGCCCATGCTCAGTATCATATCCAGAGGCTGGCTTTGGGAAATAGACATATGAGTGCTGCCAGCATTGCTGCAGAGGTTGAAGTTGTGTGTGTGTGTGGGGGTAGTCAGCCTGTCCGTGCTCCGACCATATGCCTCACACTGCATCAAATTGGTCTCCAGGACTGTCGTCCTAGAAGGAAACCTCTTCTAAAGATGATGCACAAGAAAGCCCACATGTAGTTTGCTGCTGACAAGCAGACTATGGACATGGATTTCTGGAACCATGTCTTGTGGTCCAGTGAGACGTGTCAGGCATGTGTAGCGGCAACCAGTGAGGAGTACAAAGACAAGTGTGTCATGCCTACAGTCAAGCATGGTGTTGGGAGTGTCATGGCCTGGGGCTGCATGAGTGCTGCCGGCACTGGAGAGCTACAGTTCACTGAGGGAACCCTGAATGTCAACGTGTTCTGTGACATACTGAAGCAGAGCATGATCTTCCTCCCTTCAGAGACTGGGCTGCAAGGCAGTATTCCAACATGACAACACACCTCAAAACCACCACTGCCTTGCTAAAGAAGCTGAGGGTAAAGGTGATGGACTGGCCAAGCATGTCTCTAGACCTAAACCCTATTGAGCATCTGTGGAGAATCCTGAAACGGAAGGTGGAAGTGCACAAGGTCTCTAACATCCACCAGCTCTGTGATTTCATCATGGAGGGGTGGAAGAGGACTCCCAGTGGCAACCTGTGAAGCTCTGGTGACCTCTATGCTCAAGAGAGTTAAGGCAGTGCTGGAAAATAATGATGGCCACACAAAATATTGACACTTTGTGCCCAATTTATATCGAAAGCACATAAATGCGAGTAGATAAATAGGTATCACCACGGTGGGAAGGTAACGGCGTTCCATGTCTAGTTGTGCTGGCCACGTGACCACGGAAACTGTCTACAGACAAAATGCTGGCTCTGTGGCTTGGACACAGGGATGCGCACCGCGCCCTAGAGTTGGACACAACTGGACTAAATGTCAAGGGGAACCTTTACCTTTACCGATGGTGAAGAAAGGTATTTGTCTAAGTCAAGTGTAAGAGAAGAACATAGCCTTGTTATGAAATGTGAGGGGGTGTACTCACTTCTGTAATATACTGTACACTGATCCTTGGAGGACTGAAATCAGAAGGAACCAAGGGTAGAAGAATGCAAAAATTGTAATGGACCAAACTGTGGTCAAATATGTACATAAATGTATATACTGCTGAACATGTGAATACTGCAACAGTGTACAACATGAAAATCACAATAACAGAATAAGACTGAAATAGTACCATCAAAATTATGTGGGGTTAGAACAGTGGACGAGGTACCTTACAGCACAAATGTCGAGAGACTGAAAAATCCTACATTAAGGCCACTATTTGGAATCAGCCTGCGGAACTGCTGAAGTCAGAGGGCCCCATATCTACTCTACAGATTCAGTCCAGAAGTGTGCCATGGCCAACGGTTATCAAAAGCTATGGAGAGACTCATGGCCATCTCATGAGAAGGGAAGACTCCCTGGAAAAGACCCTGATGTTGGGAAAATGTGAAGGCAAGAGGAGAAGGGAATGACAGAGGATGAGATGGCTGGACAGTGTCTGCAAAGCAACCAACATGAATTTGACCCAACTCCGGGAGGCAGTGGAAGACAGGAGGGCCTGGCGTGCTCTGGTCCATGGGGTCACAAAGAGTCGGACATGACTTAACGACTAAACAACAACAACATGGAGAAATTGAGAAAATAATTAAGGCTGTCCTTTGATTATCTCTTCCCTAACAAAGGTCATCTTTCAGGAAGAACCAGACTGATATGGTTCCAAAACCAGGCACAAATCCAGACAGGTAAATACATCTCTTTCAAAAATCAGGTATTTTAGGCCCAGCCTATTCCAGACAGCAGTTACACAATTAGAAGCACTTTCCTTAAGAAGTAGAGGACCTAGATATTCCACCATAACGTTTCTACAGCTTTCTAAGTTGCAAACCAGGCTGCTTTGATTTGGTGACTGGTTATAAGAGTAACATCTGGAATACTCCAAGAAGGTTTTTGCAAATTAAATTTTACCTTTGAGTCTCCTGCAAATACACCAAGTATGCTGGGAGCACGTAATTAGAAGCACTTTCCTTAAGAAGTAGAGGACCTAGATATTCCACCATAACGCTTCTACAGCTTTCTAAATTGCAAACCAGGCTGCTTTGATTTGGTGACTGGTTATAAGAGTAACATCTGGAATAATCCAAGAAGCTTTTTTGCAAATTAATTTTTACCTTTGAGTCTCCTGCAAATAAACCAAGTATGCTGGGAGCACGGCAATTTTTTTAAAAGGTCATTTTTATTATAAACTGTATTACGTAAGGCTGTTCGCCATCTTACCTCAGAGTCCACAGGAGGATGAGTGATGTATTTCTCATTGTCAGGAAGGGGGAAAAGGGCTCCCGCCCCGTGTCTTCCCCCCCCCATGTCAGCAAGTGAGCCCAAATGGGGAAAACTGCAAACAGAAATTACCTTCCAATAGGATTCGCAGGCTCTCACCTACCTCCCAATAGTATCTCAGCTGACTGAGCCATTCAAAGTCACTCTCGTCCGTGACCTTCTTGCTTACAAGGGATGCAAGAACGTCCCTAGCGTGAACGTCCAGAACAACGAGGGCGCCGAGAGTTACACGGTTCTGCTTGGACAGCTTCCCTCGCACCAAGGTGACAATGCCATCAATTTGGTCATTACATTGGTTCAGGTAATTCTCCATGGCCTGAGTGATGGGGGGAGAGAGAGATCCAGATGAGTGGTCTGGCCGGCTAGCATCAGATCAAAAGAAATACTCCAGTCAGCATCCTGCTGGTTCTGTGCAGCAGAAAATAGACACTCATGCAAGCAAGCCTACCTGTGCTATAGAGAGCCAAAGCATTCCTCGTTTCCTTTGGTCATATGCTAATGCATATTTAAACTCATATACTCAAACTTAGAGCAAGTAAATAGGGTGAAATTTTAAAAACCCTGCTGTGCAATTCCAGAGATAGCTCAGTGGCGTAAGTCTTTGGCTGCGGAGCCAGAGGTTGGGAGTTTGACTGTTCCTGGTGCCTCCTTGACAAAGGCTGGACTCGATGATCCATAGGGTCCCTTCCTGCTCTGCAGTTCTAAGGTGGTGGTGGTTGCTGCACTGTTTTTGCCAAGAAGATTTTGGCTGCAGAGCAATGCCTGGGCTTGCTTGTTTGCAGTTTACCTCTGGGATCTTGCAGGCAATAGTATGTTAGTGTATTTTTTGTGTGAGCTTGGAAAAAATTCCCTTTTTGAACTACACGTTATAGATTTCCCCCAGCCAGCATGGCTGGAGGATTCTATAAGCTGCAGCTTCAAAACATAAGTTCTGTGTGAGGGTGCAAGAGTCAGTGTTGCAGGCGAAGGAGACAGGTGACGGAGTGGAGCAATTCACCCCATGAAGCACCTGCAGTTTGGCTGACTGCTACCCAAAGCCAGAATGGCACCCTCTGCCCATGTCAAGAGAATGAGATTAAATTCTTTAAAAAAATCTCTGGTTTATGAATTTGGGGTATTATGCTTCTGCACCCACAATTCAAAAATGGAAATGGCCCAGTATTGCTGCACAATATTATGCCCGTGTTGCCAGCAGGAAAAAGGATACCAAAGTTTGCATAGCAAAGGGTAGCCTGAATGTTGATGACACCAGTGGCAGCAGTCAAGATGGTCTACAGGATCCCCTCTTCTGCCCACTACCATTCACCAAGTGACAACTGACTCCACTTACCATTCAAACACAGAGCATTTTTTATTTTAATTTTTTCAAGAGTCAAAGGTCAGAATTATTAGTTAAATAGCTCGGTAACATACAATTCACATATGCCTACCTGCTGGCCATTTTTCATAGCTGCTTGCACTTCCGAAGTCCAGAAAGTCTGGGATACACAAAGAACCGTCTGTCCCGGCCACTCCCTTACCCAGTCTATGCGGGTAGTTTTGGGGTAGGCTTCTATTGCAGCACCAATCACCTACAAGTAAGAAAAATGTCAGAGAGGCAACAGGTGGATGTGAAAGCCTTTCTCTCTTTTCACTCACAAGTACACATGTTTGGGTCTAACTTGGATTGGCCCTGCCAGTGTCCCTGTCTGTTTTCCTTCTAAACTCACTTCCTTGTCCTGCAAAGAGGCTAAAAAGGAAAATAACTCTATCTGCACCAGAGGAGCTTCTAACCATGGGGGTGGCCGGTGGGAAAGAGAGTTTTGTGGGGTATATCTGAGCCTCTTTGGGGGAAGATTAACAGGGCCTTGTACACTTGCAAATCAGAAAAGCAGTAATATTAGGCATCTGCTATAGTGTGTGGTTTAATCTAAAGATACGTGTCACCTAAAAATGCTATCTTAATCCTAAAGTCTCATGAAACTTAGATTAATTTGAGGAAAAGCAAAGCGAAGTGTGCTGGACAGACACCACCCCATAGTGCTTAAAGCACTCTCTGGGTGGTTTACAATTTAATTATGCAGGCTACACATATCCCCATGCCCAAGAGCTGGTTACTCAATTTACCAGCCTCGGAAGGATGGAAGGCTGAGTCAAGGTTGAGCCGGCTACCTCAATCCATTGGGATCAAATGCAGGTCATGAGTAGAGTTTTGACTGCAGTACTGCAGCTTAACCACTGCATCACAAGACTCTTGGCATTGTTTGTTTGTGGGGTATATCTGAGCCTCTTTGGGGGAAGATTAACAGGGCCTTGTACACTTGCAAATAAGAAAAGCAGTAATATTAGGCATCTGCTATAGTGTGTGGTTTAATCTAAAGATACGTGTCACCTAAAAATGCTATCTTAATCCTAAAGTCTCATGAAACTTAGATTAATTTGAGGAAAAGCAAAGCGAAGTGTGCTGGTTATACACCACCCCATAGTGCTTAAAGCACTCTCTGGGTGGTTTACAATTTAATTATGCAGGCTACACATATCCCCATGCCCAAGAGCTGGTTACTCAATTTACCAGCCTCGGAAGGATGGAAGGCTGAGTCAAGGTTGAGCCGGCTACCTCAATCCGTTGGGATCAAATGCAGGTCATGAGTAGAGCTTTGACTGCAGTACTGCAGCTTAACCACTGCATCACAAGACTCTTGGCATTGTTTGGATGGTACACAGACAATGAAACACTGCATTCCCATATGATAGTAGGAACAGGAATGTACATCCCCATGTGGATTCCCTCACTGAGGTCTGAAAAGCATATTTCCTCTCCACTAAAGGCATAAGTTGTTTCTGCATTCCATGTGTGCAAATCTGTTTGGAGCACCCTATGTGTTACAGATCACATGGCAAATGTTATGGAAATGCTCACTTGCACAACCATAAGAGCACGGATGTTCAGCTCAGTGAAGAAACTGAACCAGATCAATGCTCTTTAGAGTCCCAAGCTTGGCAGCCCTGTCCAATTCCAAAAAACTGAACTGAAGCTGTTTTAGCTCCCTTAACTCTAAAAGGAATAAATCAACTTCTGTTTTAGGATGATGGAAGAAGTGTTTGTAAACCTAGTCTAGCCTTGATTGACATAAAAGAAAAATCACAGGTTTAAAGATTAGCCCATTCAATGCAGCTTTCCCATCTAAGCACCAGGAGACAAGGCCAGAATAAAACAGCCCTTGACAATTACTGTATAGTTAAAAAAAGAAAAGAGAAGGATGTGATTAATAGAGAACAAGGCCAAAGTGATTAATAGAGAACAAGGCCAAAGTGCTTAATGAAGTGAGCTTAAAATGAAAACAGAATAAAAAAAATAAAGCTACTAATTCACCATTTTTATCAGAGTGCATTCAAAGTGTGACAAGCTGCCTCACAAACAAATGCCTTTCCTTTCTACATCTCTAGCATAGCTTTGCCAGGGTTATGGGTTTTGTTCATTGCTAAGTATTTTGTGAGAAATACCTGTTTGACTGCATATGAAGCTGAGATAAATAAAGAGGAGAGGGAATACAGTGATGCCCCGCTTGATGATTACCTCTTTAGACAGCACGAAATTGCTTGACAAAGAGTATTTTGCAATCGCTATAGCGATCGCAAAATGATGTTTGTATGGGGAAAATCCACTTGATGACAATCGGTTCCCTGCTTCGGGAACCAATTTTTCGCTAAACAACAATCTGATCGGAGGCTCTCAAAATGTCTCCCCACTGTTTTGCTGACCTCATTTCGCAAGACAGGGAGCGGAAAATGACCGCCGTATGGAGGATTTTCGCTGCCCAAGCAGGCATTTCCCTAAAATGACCGCCGTATGGAGGATTTTTGCTGCCCGAGCAGGTATTTCCCTCATTGGAACACTTTGACCAGTTTTCAATGCATTCCAATGTTTTTTTTTTTTTCGCTTGATGATGATTTCGCTGTACAGTGTCTTTGCTGGAACGGATTATCATTGTCAAGCGGGGCACCACTGTATTTTGAGAAGCAAACAGGTTTCATGGCAATTAATAATGAAACAAGATCAGAGACAAAGGAACCAAAAGAAAGAAAAAGTAAATATGGCCTCAGGTTCCAGATTGAATAAGGAGACTGCAATCTTATTAGTTCCCCTAGAAAGCAAGAAGGAAGGAAGGAAGGAAGGGTAAATACAAGTAATATGAAAATTTGTACTAATGGGACAAATGTGGCACTGGAATAAGGAAATGGACACCAGTTCAGGTAACTTTAACACACAACACATTAAAGATATAAACCCTTTAAGAGTATGTCAAAGATTGAGTGCTTGGACTCACAGTTACGTCAGCCATTCCCAAGCTACATATAATTGTCATTGAAAAAATGTGCAAGCATATATACACAATATGATCCTGTCCTACACTAGGACATCCCAATCAGCCCTCAGTAGGGAATCAACAAATGGAAAATAAAACTCCAAGAGCATGTATACTTAAATACCTGGCAATGTGAGATTTTAGTTTCAGAACATTTAATCTGAGATACACATGATGCAATCTTTCGTTTATCCTGTATTCACTATATTGTCTAGTTGGATGAATACCCTCAACTCAGCAGGAAAAGAGAAAAATGGACTATGAGACAAATTGACTCAAGAAAAAAAAAACCACAACTCTGAGTTTGCAAAACCTGAACAATAAGATCTTTCAGAGATTACTAATTCACAGCTGTGGCCGTGAGGCGGAAGTGACTTGATAGCACATAACAACACTTTCCAAAGCGGTACAGATTGGTTTACCTCTTTGAAAAAGCTTTGAAAAGTGAGATTCTATATTATATCTCCCAGAATCCCCCAGCAAGCACAATGATTGGCCGGAAGAATCTGGCAGCTATAATTTATGTTGCACCACAAAAAGCCACTTTTCTTAGTACTGCTCTTTGGCCTACAACATACCATTTTCAGTAGTGTCCATAGGTCACATCCCACAGAGGGTCAAAGTATTAGTGGCATTAATTGCAAGTAGGCAACTGTTGCACATAGTTTTACTGAAAACTGAAAACAGCCACTGAAAGAGGGGTGGATAGGAGAGGAACCAGAGGACTCGGGGTGGAAAGGTAAAGGGCAGTTAACTCTTCCTTCCCTGCTATGGCACAGACTGAGAAACCCTTGCCCAAAGCTGGCATTCACCCGAGGAGGGAAACTCACATAATACTAGAAGAAATATCTCCCCCAAGGCTAACAGTAGGGGGAAGATAGGGGTTTTCAAAGTCATGGTAGGGAGGAAAGGGTTATGTACCAAAGCACACAGAGGCTTCCAGAACAATGAATGTTTCTCTCCCTGGCCAACAACACCATGAGGGATGGGGGAGAGATGAAGAAAGGCAAAGGGGGGGGGGGAATTGCATTTTTAAAATTCCTTCTACAAAATTATCATAATATTTAGTTTGGTTTTGAAGAGAAAGGAAATGTCCCAGAGATTTTTAGAAATAAGAATCATATCTCACTGTTTTCCCGTGGTTTGTTACAGAATAAATCCAACCCAGGTGTGATTTGTTTACCTTGTGGATGGAGCTCACCATGGCTGTTTCTAATTCAACCAACCATTTCTCCACTTGGCCTCTAGCTTTAGCTGTTGATATCGTGTTTATGAGTTCTACCACCTCCCCTTCGCTGCTTTTCATGTGTGTAATATCCAAGACTTCAGTAAACTCAACACTTGCAATTCCTTCAAAACACTTCTTCAAGTGAGGCTTCACCCTGGTGAATTAAAAGAGGGAAATAAGAAACAAACTTCGCACTGCAGAACTAGTTACAACTCCTTCAAAGAATAAGTTAATTACACTCTATATATTAAGATTAATAGCCTCATACTGTCTCAACGAGTCAACTGTTCCTTCTTCCCACAGAGAACGCCTTCCATTCTTATATTACACTGGCAAAAACTTCATCTCCATCTATTAAAGTCTGCGTATTTTGTTGTAAATCCTCCTCAACGCCTCTTAGGCTTGGACACAGCAGCTACTAAAATAGTCCTACTTAACTTTTATTAGAACATCATCAGGAATACTATGCTGCTTTAAATAATCTACAGACACGTATTTTTGATAACCATTCCATAACATGACATCATGTTCATTGCTGTTGCTGAGACCTTGTCTCAAGTCTTCAGTATGTACGCATGTTCAGACTTTTCCCCCCAAAATAGCAAATCCACCATTCAGTATACTTTTATTGCTGCTAGCACTAGTCAGGTGCCATCCATGGTCAAATCAGCAGGGGTATAACACCACAAAATGGTGGTCATCATTCTGCTTCATCTGCAAGACTTCACAGGGGATGCAAGTACCTTTTGTCTCAGTCTCTGTGTGCCTGGTCAGGATTATCCTTGCCTACCTCATCTTCTACAGATTACCTTGCCCAATCTGATTATTTGCAGATGTATACTTGTCTTCTCATGACAGCACAAAAGATAGCAAGGAAGAAAGTAGGGAATCCTTTGAGGGAACAAGGTACAATCAAACATAGAGGGAGGGAAGATGGATAAGTGAACATTATGTATTGGGATCTGGGAATAGAGAGGTGGGGCAAGCAAGGCTAGGAAAGGGCTTTGAAAGTAAGAACAAGGAACTTGAGTTGAATCTAGGAACCAGTATAACAATTAAGGTGGAGCATCACATGAGAAATGAGGGATATGGATGGTTTTGCCAGTAGGATGCTGAAGAGAGATGAGGAGACAATGGTGAGACAACAGAAGGCTGGAGAGGATACAGTTGCAGTAATCAAGAGATACCCCGAAAAGGTTCAGTCATGACCTGCCCTTTTGCTGAGGGGACACTGAGGAAGCGCTGTATGTCTGCCTTTTGTAAAAGAGGAAGGGACAGAATTGTGCATTGGGTTGAATATGGGGAATAAGGGGAGTCAAAGATGAAGCCATCCATCTTATTTAACAAAATTTCTGTTCAACAGGATGGATGATAACATTGCTAATTGGTTTTTTTAAAAAAAAATGGGTGTATACACCATTTGAACAGAATCAATACCCTACCACTCCAAAACATATAGCCCTTAATGAACTTTACAAAGAAAGCAATGGTTCCCACAGATGTCTATCAAATAATATTCTACCGTGTGGGATCTTTGGTCTCTGAGAGAATTTCAAGGAGTTCATCGTTGGATAAGAAGAAGAATCTGGGGAAAAACAGACGCTTCTTTTCTAAATACTCGTTCAGTCCCTTCAGAATTAATTCCAGGAACTCGTTGCACTTCTTCAGTTTTTCCAGCATCTTGTCTATCATGACCACTGTAAGAACATGTTTGTCCTGAAGGGGAGAAAAATAGTAAGTGAAAATTGATCCCTATTTAAAAGCTGGGTGTTAAGTCTTTCATTGTTCCCAAGGTAGCCTCTAGAGCTCAAAAGAATTTGATCCACTTTCTCCAAATTCTCCTCCACAAAGTTCTGATGAAGAATAATCCTTCAACACTCTCCAGCTCCTTTGCTGACGGCATTCTGCTTCATTTTTATTCAGGCAGGCTTCAGCACTGCACGTTGGCTAATTTTGACAATGACACACCAGTGTTTTTGATCTGTAGTTATAGCGATTCAAGTGCTGCTGTTTGGCTACCTTTCTATATTTTTGCACAATTACCACTAATTAACGAGGTGTTGATTGCATTCCTGGGTGCACATGCCTTGGAATGAAACCTGCACCATATTAACTAGCTGCAATATGTCACCCCAATTTACACCACTTATGCAAGAATAAACGGTTCATTACATTCTGGCCTCCATCTTTGTTAATATCCTTAATAGGTTCAGTCACAATCTTGTAAGGAGGAAATAAACTTGCTTAATAAATAAGGAGGGGCAACTGCTATGCTAGGTGCCATTGGAATTTGCCAGTAGTATATGATGTAAGATGGGGTGTATATTCAAATATCTGGAAACGACTTTAAAAAAATTTAAAACAAGATTTGCAATAAGGTCATGTCTTGTTTTAAAGGAAACTTGTGCTTCCCAGAGGGAGGTGCAGGTTTCCCACATCCCTCATTTAAAGTCAAAATGTAATTCAGCAGTTCTTCAGCCATCCAATTTGGACAGGGGAAACTGCTGTTTAAAACTCCTCACTTGATTCTCTAAGTAAATTGGTATTCTTGTTGGTCAGAGCACATTCCGCTTTTTGGTACTAACTCTCCTCTTCTCCTAACCATTGATGCTTTCATATTCCCTGTTCTACCTCATGGAATTTATTTTGATAGACCTCCTAGGCTCTCTAGACAAGTTTCACGGGCACAGGAAAAGGAGGTGGCAAGGATGCAGGCAATGTTCCCTCGTAGAAGTTGATATTACAGGAAAAAGTCACAGCAGCTATTCTGCCCATATGTTTGTCTAAGCAAATAGCTGGCTTCTCCAATGTTTCTGTACATTCGGACAATGAATTAAGTCATAACAATAATTCACGCACATTCTCTCGGGAAAAGGAACACCCGAGTTCATTTAGAGATGGGCACGAACCTCGATTCGGAGGTGGGTGCCACACGTTCTCTCTTCCCCCACCTCCCTGGACAATGAACCACTCACAAGTCAAAAGAATGCTCCTCTCCTTCTCCTCTTCGACTGTTCAACCAGTACCTGGCAGGAGCACAGGTCTGCCTGTCCCGCCCCCTTGTCTGAGTGGGCGATCAGCCAAGAAGGCAGGGCAGGGAAACTCGTGCTCCTGCTGGGGACTGAACAGCCGAAGAGGAGGAGGAGGAGAGGAGTACATGCCGGCTGGTGAGTGGAGAATCCAGCCAGGAAGGCAGAGGAAGGAGGTTCATGCCCATCTCTACTTTGGTCTCTCAGGAAGTACTTGCAGATTACAAAACCCACAGTCCATTACCATTGGTTACCTGGCAATTGAAGTCTAAAAATATTATCTGAAGTCTCTAGGTTCTCACCCTCTCCACTGAGTGATGACCAATGTTTCCTCAAAGAAAATCTTTGGACAACATGGAGACACGAGGGCTTCATTTTCATATAAAAATACCAAGCCCACCAACACGTGCCCAGACTGATTACCACCCAGATCCAGAACCCGCCGGACCACTTACCGCATGGCACGCGGCATGTGTGGCCAGCGTATGCCCTGGGCCCCAATCATGGCGGTAGCCTGGATGCTGTAGTCCCGCCTTCCTGCTCATCCAGCCATTGTGGGAAGGGGGGTGGGAGGATGAGTCTCCCTGTTCAGCCACAGGGTTACAAATAGGAAGCCCCTCTGTCTGCTATCAATACTATGATAAAGCAACGCTGCAAGAAAACAGCCAGCACAGTCTAAAATCTACTATCTTTGTTCGTCAATGTGTTCCCCCCTCTTATTCAGATTTTGCAAATGTCCCTCATTTCAAATAAATGTTTTGCTGGGATTCACGATGTCTCTTGCATTCTGCATCAGTACTGCCAAATTCCATATTTCGGCGGTTTTCCTCCCACTGCTTGCAGCTGCTTAAATCATATAGAATGTGATGCTAAAGAACAAAGCATGTACACACCCACAAGGAAAATGCACAGGTGTATCATGGCAGTAAGTGCAATGCACACAAGTTATACATGCATACCATGGTGCAGTTTTGCCCCCACTTTAAGAAAAATGCCTCCAGAGGCCCATGGGAGCTATTTTCCTTTAGAATATTGAACTCTGTTCATCCCCCACCTCAGCCTTTTCTCTGCCCACCCATCCTCAACCTAAAGAAAAAAAATTAGATGTTTTGATTAATGCTACATGAGCACCCTCAAGCGGCAATTGTATGCAAGTTCATTGCTTATATTTACGACAGACCACATCACAGATTTTGAAGCTTTCCTTTAGAAATAGATTTGGAAATAACGCCCTGTCTCCACAATTTAGATACTTAGTGCATACCAATATTCAACAGTTCCAGCTCCGGTACAACTTGGAGAATAAATCAAATTACATTTGTTTTTAAAAAAGCAGTGAAGTCATTTGCAGGCGACTTGCAGATAAAGAAGCAGCATAAAAATAAAATTAAACCATGGTTAAGCGTGTGGAAAATGTTACACATCGAAATGATTGCATGTTCACAGATTCTTCTCTTGAGATAATTTAAACAGCTTCTTTCATTTGACTTTACATATGGACAAGGATTGCTGCTTTACACCATTTTTGTTTATCAAAAATAGCAACGAAAGCCAATAGCAATTTCCTCTTCTTTGACTGAAGCCACACAGAGAAAACAAATATTCAAAACAGGGGTAAAGTATAGGGCAATGGGGAAAAACGCTTTCACGATTTCTTGCTGTCTCGGTAAAACATAACAGCAAGTCAGAAAATCTACACATACACTCAGTTTTGGTTTATGCTGATAGGGATAATATGTTCCCGCTATAAAATCTAGCTGCAGTTTCTAGACATATACTGCCATCTTCTGGGGAAACATTCCTACCTGTTCATTGACAGGGAAATGTCAAAAATATATAAAATAATGAGGAAAGTAGTAAGGGCAGTTCCACATTTTACATGCTGACTAAAATCCTATTAGTGCAACTACATCTGTGTAAGACGGACAAGGTCATCAGGAGGGCTGATTTCCTGCCTCTGTCCCAAGACTTCCACAGCCCCCTTTCGTACGTAAGTGGGAAGCCAGGGGAACTATGAGATGGGTGGAGGAAATCCTTAATTACCGAAACTTGCCACCATGGCAGTGACACTGAATTCACCACTGGGGTGATACTGAATTTGCCATGACAGTGGCAAAGATTTACCTCCTTCCTTTCTCTTCAAAACATGATGTGTTCAGTTGCATGTGCCTTATTTATCGGTGGAAACATGCTTCTGAAAGTGTTTTTTGTTTTTTTTCGGAATGCAGCGCATCCCTTGCTTTCAAAGCGAGCAGTCCTTCTGAGACTGGGAGGCAAGGCCTGGGACCAGCACACACCTCACTTAAAAAAAAAAATTAAAGCGCAGGTTCATTTTTGCTAATGGCTTTGAATTTGGTGATGGGATGAGGGGAGACCCTTGTGGAGACTTGAGTGGGCCTGTGTAAGTGGACGCAGCCTGGGTGCAGCCCATGGACCATGGGTTGCCTGCACTGTCTCCTACAACTTGCAGGAACTCCATTTTTCTCCTTGCACAACCCTCAACTCCAGGCCTTGATTCCCCTTGCTGTCCAACCCGTTCCACTGGCGTCATACAATCTGCTGCATAAGACACTGCACAACTCATGACGACTTCATTTGTGGCTGAGTGTGCTTGCTCATGCTAGTTCTGCTGCTTCTGCTGGTGGCAACTTTTTTTTCTCCAGCCTAATGTTGGATATAATCCCCTGTGCCTTGCCTTACAGAAGACCGTCTTTTGTTTGAAAGGGTTGTTAGAGAACAGTCCATGATCTGAAGGCTCTCCAGCCATAAGGGTCAGCAAGAGAGGGCCTTGATGCTGTCCATACCGCATGAGTGTAGCAGAAGAGCAACCAGGCGCACAGGTTGTCAGTCGCAGTCTTCCCCATTGAGGTAGAATGTACAGTATTGTATTTCTATTTAAATTTGATCATGTACTTCTAAATTTGTGTCTACTCACAAGAGGACAACCCAGAGAAAAATGCCGAAGGGTGACAGAGGTAGCCATGGATTTGGCTGTGGCCTCAACAGTATGCCTAGCTGAGAGCATTTGTTGTTTGGCAACTGACAGTCCTTCTTGTTGGAACGTTTGAGCCAAAACCTTTTTGTCCTCGGGAAGTGCCTCAATGAAGGTGGACACATTGTCCCAGAGGAACCGCTGGAAAGCACCCATGGATCCTTGGTAGTTGGAGACTCTCATGGTGAATGCAGCGGAATGTCACATTTCCAGGGGATACAGCAGGTGAAAGTCCAATAAGTCAGTCCAAAGTCAGAAGTCTGGGGGATACAAAGCAGATGCCAAATTGCCAAAGCCAAAACACAAACCGTAGTAAGACGTCAGAATCCAAGAGTCAAGTAAGCAAGGTTCAAGATAGCAGGAACGTGTACGCAAGCCAGAGAATGGATTTGTTGCTTCCACAAGCTTCCAAGCCTCTGGGTGCAAATTTTATAGCAGCAGCAGCAGTCATCTAAACACTTCGTCCTGCTAAAACTCAGGGCTGGTCAACCTGATGTTCCTATGGGAAGCATTCATGTGAGCCTCAGACCTTCATGTCATGAGTCTTTGCCAAAGCTTATCCCTTACTCTGGCTACTGGGGGAGGAGAATCTGGTGGTGATTCAGTTGTCTGCAATTCTGCTTTTCCCCAGCTGTAATTAACCCCTCAGATTCCAGATCTTCTTTGGCTGAACTCATGACACGGAAGAGTATAGCCATCTGCCCATGCAGTCGATCCGCCTGCTGTTCTTATTGGGTGGTATGAGAATTTGACGATGTTGAGATCAAGATTGGGAAGCCTCGACAAAGACTGAGTTTGGGGCTGGTTGTTTCTGAAGAAAAAACACTCCTGGATCATGAACTCAGTAAAGATTGTTGATGTGTTTCGACATCGAGTGAGACGAAGCCAGTTTCGCCCACAAGCACAGGGCAGTGTTAAGTAGGGATGGTGACATAGAAATGTAAACCGGAGTTGTGGTATCCTTGGAGATGGGATCGTAGAGATGACCCACTGGTTCAGTTGTAGGTCTGTGTATTTGGAGATCCAGGGACTTAGCCATGTGCACCATCAATTCTGCATAAATTTGAAAATCCTCCGCTGGAGATGGAGGGTCGGCATCTGCTAAGTCAGACTCCGGTGATGTGAGCAAAACAGATGGTGTTTGTGGTCTGGATTCCTGTTCAGGATCCTCGGCTTCAAGTCGAGAATCCACAGACTGACAATCGGCCTCGATACTAAGGGGCTGCGCCTGAAAATATTGGTTCCTATGTCCAGATGTTGATGTTGAAGGCACGTCCATGAACAGCAGTTGATGTCAAGGGTCATCCATCGGTATCAATATTGATGGGGCATCCATGGGCAGTGATCAATATCGAGGATTGTCAATATCTGAGCCAGTATCTTGATGGTGTTGAAATGAAGGCTTGGACAGTGACCAATATAGAGGATTGTCAATATCAGAGCCAGTAACTCGATGGTGTCAAAATGGAGGTTGGTGCCAAGATGGTGTGTGTCAATGGGCCACCCTGGATGGCTGTCGAGTAGATGGATGCTGGTGATGCCAAGTGGGATGATTGATCACAATCCTGCTGACTGGCAGGAAAGTAGCGGTTTACCGGAGCTGCAAATGCATCCTGAGCTGAAGAGTATTGATTGGCTGCTCTGGGTTTCTTAGGTGCCGGTTGGTGATAAACTGTAGGAATCTGTTGAGGATCATCAAGGTAAAACCGTTTTGACATTGAGGGCTGCCATAAGTGAGACCTCTGATGTGGCACTGCCATCGAACCAGGGAGAGCAACCGGTTGTTAATGTTTGGCAGGCTTATCAGTTGAGCACTGATCAGGGCAAATGGCTACCCAATGATAGTGCTAAGCATGGGTTGATGCCGCACACAAAGATATGTTGCCGGTCCCACATGGCTGGTGCCCTTGATGACGCGACGGGGTGGCAGGCCTGTTGGGATGGAGTAGGGCACAGTCTCAGGTTGCGTTTCAACTCCTTGCATGTTGGGCGAAGCAACCAAGGAGGACTCGCTGGAAGAGCCAGATTATCGAGGGCTAGCTGGGGAGGATGTGAGCTGTTCCATCCACTCCTCCCATTCTGGTGACTGTGATGGATATGGTTGATGAGATGGAAGTATTTCTTCATCCAAGGGTGAACCCATGCATACTGGATCCCCAGATTCCAGGAACTGTGGGGAAGTAACCCTCAGGAATGTTGCCTTCGAAGATTTAGGTTTCTTCGGTGGCGAGGGTTCTTGAACCTAAGGTGCATTGGTGGATGGCTTCCGTTTGGTGGACATTTTTTATGGCGATAATTTCAGCATTGAATGTTTGGCTTTGTGCCCCTTAGTGGACGATGTTGAAGGGGCATCAGAGCACTGTTTCGCCATCTCTGAAATGGCTTAATCCATGGCCTTAGCTTGTGAAGTGGACTTAAAGGTAGGCTGAGCCATAGATTTTGTAGGCTGGAGGGATTGTTCCCAAAGCCGAAGCTTAAGTCTAGAAAGACGACTGCAGAGAACTCCGCGTTTGAAATTCTCAGTGAGGGCAAGAAGAGTTTTGGTGGGCCTCACCAAGACAGAAAAGACATTTAGCATGGCCGTCAGAAAGCGGGATCTTGTTCTTGCAGACCACGCAATGTTTAAACGGGCCCTCTGGGGCCATGAAAATAAGGAAAAAGGGAAGGGGGCTTTGGCTGCAAGGCCACAGCAACAAAGGAAAAACAACCTCTCCTTCTTTTAAAACAATGCTAATAAAGTCTTAAGTGTTTAAAGGAATCAAAAACAAAGTCTCTTTCATTTTAGGGAAAAACTCACAGAAGTGATTGATACAAGACTCTCAACGCAGCGGTTAAAAGAAACTGAAGGGAGAGCCTTGGCACCAAGGCACATATACGGAGGGGGAGGGGTCTACACTAATGTGTTGGGTTTTTTTGCTACCGCAGACGCTCTAGAATATTCCAATGAGGCTCCGCACAGGCGCGGATTACCTAGGGTGTGATTCACAGAGGCCACGAAGAAGAAGTCATATTTTGGGCTGTTTGGTTTAAAACAAAGCCAGGAATGGAAGGCTGTGATAAAATTGGGCAAGATATGAAGCTAGTAGTTACAGGAAAAACATTTCACCTACTCTCATAAAAACAGAATTCAGGATCATCTACTGAAGTGGAGTGGTCAGAAATTCAGGAGAGATATAATTAGACCATGGAATTTCTAAGATCTGAGGATGGCCCCATGGATGACTTTCAAAGGGGATTAGACAAATAAATGAATAAGCCTGTTGATGGGTACCAGTCAAAAAGTTTACACTACTCAGGAGCCAGCATGTCTCATCAGCTGCTGGGGTGCGACACAGGAAGAGGGCAGTTGCCTTCACATCTTGATCATGGACTTCCCATAGTCATCTTGTTGGCCAGAGTTGGAAAAGGATGATGGACAAGACAGTCTTTTTGCCTGATCAAGCAGGCTCCTCCTATGCTCTTAGATCAAGAGATTTTCTATAACAACTGAGATAGTTGCTTCTTAAAATACTTGCATTGCATCCACATTTTCATGTCAGTACATGAAATTCCTCCAGATACACTTCTCCCCTGAAATTCCACAGATTTCAGCAGCATAATTTTGGCTGTATATTTTTAAAAAATAAATGAATAAATCCTGTGCTGCTATTTGTCTCCAGGAAGTAGGCTGAGAAAGGTAGGCCCCAGGCTTATCTAGGGCCCTGTTATTGGCAATGCGGCAGGCTAATGCAGGTTGGAGGAGGTGTATGTCTCTGTGTTAACTGCCTATTTATGCTTTGTAGTTATATTTGGGGACCATATACACAGTTTCCAAAAGATCTCCTGTATGGACAATTAATGCAGGGAAAGTGCCCCAGAGGGAGACCACAGCTGTGATACAAGGATATCTGCAAGCGGGATCTGAAGGCCTTAGGAATGGACCTCAACAGATGGAAAACCTTGACATCTGAGTGTTCAGCCTGGAGGCAAGCGGTGCAGCATGGCCTCTCCCATTTTGAAGAGACCCTTGTCCAGCAGACCGAGGCAAAGAGGCAGTCCCGAAAGCAGCAAAATCAGGGAGCTGGACAGGAGACAGACTGTATTTGTCTTCAGTGTGGAATGGACTGTCACTCTCGAATTGGCCTTCTCAGCCACATTAGACGCTGTTCCAAGACCTCTATTCAGAGCACGTTACCACAGTCTCTTGAGACCGAAGGATGCCTACCAAAAATGTAGATGGATTTTGAACAGCTCAGGGGTCCAGTGCCCCAACCCCAGTCCAAAGCTACCAAGCACAATGTTTTTCAAGACACATAATGTGCTTTAGTGTGTAGTTAACACAAACTCCCAATTTCTACAAGGTCTTTACTCAAAGTCTTGTACCTCTTGTCATGAATAGCAATCATTCATTCCACATTAATTTCCATCAACCATATATTTTGCTTAATTCCACCAAAGAGAGCAAATTACTACAGTACCTGAATGGCGCATTTCATGATATCCTTCCATGTTTTGTCCACAGTGGTGAATCTCCTGCCTTCTTCAGGCATCTGAGCCATGATGTCAGGAGAACTAAAAATTGGCTCCAAGTACAACCAGGTAGCCTGTACTTTGAGCCATTCGTCCAAGATTTCCTGCACCAACAAAAGCTTTGATTCCCATTCTCTGTAAAACAAAAGGTACAGAGGTTTAGGTCCATGCTTGTGGTAGCCCCATTTTCCCATGAAAAGACTCAAGCAAGGTATGTAGTCATCTAGCATCTTTCATGTCTCTGTGACTGGTGCACTGGGAATGAGAAAAGAACTCTAGTTCTTGGATAACTGGATGTTCTGTGTTCAACAGGATAAACCAATCATAGAACTTGTGCTTATTAAAAACTACAATTATTCATGATCTGTGCACCACTCCACATGCCACCAGAGAAAGCAGGCCACATCGTGCATTACAATCTGAATTCTGTACCAAGCTCTGCCTGCACAACACATATTGAAAATCAATAAAAGGCCGGGATGTTGGGTCTGAGTCCCAACTCCAAATCTGAGTCTTTGATATCAAGTCCCAAACCCCAAGTCCGAGTCCCTATTAAGAAAAAGCCTTTTCCCCCAGAAAAGGGGAGGGGGTGGATGGGTTCTGACTCACAAGTCTAGTCTGAGTCACTGGGGGGGGGGGAAGAGTCTGAATAGAGTCACTGGTGCGACTTAAATCCAGCTTGACAACGAGTTCCGTGACTCAAGTTCCCACTCCTAATAAAAGATTCAACCAATCTACACAAAACCAGACTGAATTCTGCATGGTTGGCATAGGGTGGCAAGAGAGCAATTTCAGAAGAAAAAGGAGGGGACATAACATATTGGTAGAAAATTACAAATTAGAGATAAAGGGGTAAGAACTCTTACAGGAGGCCTAGCGTGAAGCTTGCCAGGAAGGCTTGGTCAGTCTCTTTCAGCCTTTTAACCCAAGAGGGATGTGAGCTCACATTAGACAGAATTACATGCAACACATCACATGCAGAAAATAATAGATATATGCTCTCAAGAGCATGTTTTCAGATCTAACAAGAGGGCCAAGGGGATAAAATCAAGAAAATTCTGTTTTTGGAAATACCAACACCACCACAATGAGGAGAAGGAACTGAGGGGATGGTTCACTCTCTCAAGCCTTAGTTAAGCCAGAAACCCAAACTGGGAGGAGAGAAGAACCTGAAAGTTTATTTGGTTCCTCAGCCATCTACTTACAGTTTAGGTAGAGATCAGCCTTATCTCTTGTGTCTTACAGCTGGAGAGGAAAAAGTAAGTGAATGTATGTGAACAGCTGGCCTGTTTAAAGATTCAAGGTGCTATTAGGAGGGCCCAACTATCATGCTGATGTTGATTTAATATAAAAGCAAGGGACCAGGACCATTGGGAACACAACATGGATTTTGGAAGTTGAATCCATCTGCTTTCCCCACTAGAAATACACATTCCTACTACCATATTTTTCTGTGTATAAGACATCCCCCATTTTTCTAATCCAATCTAAATGGAGCTTAGCAAGTGTAGGGGAAAAGGGATCAAAGCGCTGCAGGATCGCTTTGATCCCTGCTTTCCCCTCCACTTGTTTTTGTTCTCTCCTCAGCTTACTTCTGTGTATAAGACAACCCTCAATATTTAGTCTGAAGATTTTAGACAAAACTATAGTCTTATACACGGAAAAATACAGTATTTTCTCTCATTACTTCTGGTCTCAGAACCTCAAGGAGAACAAAACGGATGAAGCAGATTTGCAGGGGGAAGCATGGACATGAGTTTCCTCCTTCAGCATGCCTGTCTGATACTTTAAATTATGTGTATACCTCCACCCCTACTTTTTACAGCATCCACAGATGGATTCTTCACACTGGTCTGCCACCACCATACAGAGTTTGGCCCTCAGCTAGTCATGAATGATCAGGATCGCAAGCTAAGCAACATCCTGCTGTTGAAATCTCGCCTCAGAAAACATTTTACCTCATCTTTTTTTCGTAAGGTTTGATGAAAGGCGATCCTCTCATCGTCTGCGTTTTGACAATGTGGTCATCCAGCAACATCTGAATATCATCCACAGCTGATAAAATGTAAGTCCCAGTTTCTCTATAAGAGAGGAGAACAAATTCCATGCCATCCCACTCTGAAATCATTTTCACCATGGCCTTCTCAAGTGAGTGCTCTTTGCTGGCAGTTTCGCTTATGCTTTCAAACTTTTCCAAGTAGGGCTCAAGGTGCATATCAATATAGGAAGAGACAGTGGAGTCTTCAGAAGGTTTCAGAGAATACCCAACTATTTCCGACATGGCTTCCCAATGCCGGTCTTGCAAACCGGGGTTGCAGATCACTTGAATCAAGGGAATGTGTTCCTTAAATTCTTCCACTTTTGCCTTGATCCTTGTTGTCAGAAATAATGCATTTGGTGAATCGTGAAAGGTTTTCTCTAATTTATACAGTGCACGCCAGTAGTTCCCTGTATCCAAGTCTACTTGATCTGGATTCACCTTCGTGAAGATTCCATCCATCCAATTTCGGTACTTAGTGTTAAATTCTACCGTCATATCATAAAGGCGAAGATAGGGATTCAAAGTATCTTGGATTTTTTTACGCTGAGGATACTGAGATGCTGGCCATCCATAAGCCTCTTCCTCTGCATTGATCTGATCAATCTAAAGATGGTACAGATAATTTAAATAATAATAACAACAACATAGGCCTCATATTAAATGACAACTTCACTACAACTCTTAAGTATACAAGTATACACCCATTTTGGTCCAAAATCTATATAATTCTTTATTCAGGTTCTTGATAGTAAACATAGTCCTATGCAGACTGATTCATTAATAATGTCCCTTATTTATTTATTTATTTATTTATTTGTTTGTTTGTTTGTTTGTTTGTTTGTTTGTTTGTTTGTTTGTTTACTTACTTACTTACTTACTTACTTACTTACTTACTTACTTACTTACTTACTTACTTATTTAACCTCACCTTTCTCCTTTAAAAGGGCTCAAGGCAACTTGCAACAATGAAAGACAATGTTTAAAACTAAAACTTAGTAAAGAGGCATCTTACATCATTAACAGGCAATATTAAGACAAGGATCAATAGATTTACTTTTTTAAAAAAAAAAGCCACTCTAAGAAATGGAAAACACAAAAATGGAAAACACAAGTAGTACTAAAAAGCAATCAAACCAGTAATGTATAGCAGTGGTTCTTAACCTTGGGTTACTCAGGAGTTTTGGACTGCAACTCCCAGAAGCCTTCACCACCAGCTGTGCTGACTGGGGTTTCCGGGAGTTGCAGTTCAAAAGTATATGAGTAATAAAGGTTAAGAACCACTGATGTATAGCAATCTAAAAATCATGCACAGGTAGCTAGTTTACCATATTTTTAATCTAAAAATCACACACAGGTAGCTAGTTTACCATTCTTTAACCTAGCATGTTTTTAAAAGTGGTACTCCCTCAAGCAGTTAAAGACCTACTCCACTTTAGGTCCTTTTCTGAGAGAAAAAAGGAAGGAAGGAAGACGGAATATGATTTTCCTTACTAGCAAATGTAACATTAGTGTGTTTTCTTTGTGATTCATTACTGCAAGGTAGACACAGGCTTAATTTACAAGTCTGATTGTTGAAGCACATATCTCTGAGGTAAACCCATTGGGATTAAACATGGGAAATACACATGCTCCTTAATTAGAAACAGGCATTTACAGTGGTTCAGTGCTTCAGCGTGGTTTGGCGGATTGGGCCCACAGGTGTCGCACCAGCACCCTCGATTCTGCTCCCTGCCTCTTCCCACGGATGCCCTGTCAGAAGCAGGGCCACGAGTGTCCATGGCCCGCCTCCTCTTCTGAGTGCGGGCCCACGGGAGGAGGTGGGGTACGGAATCCAGAGCACCTGCGCAATGCTTATGGGCCCAATCTGCCAAACCACGCTGAAGTGCCGAACTGCGGTAAGCGTCCATCTCTATGACCTTAACATCCGGTTTAAACTTGAGCCAAACCCCTTCTCAAGACAAGACAACAGCTGCTATAAACAAAGGCCCAATACCTTACCTTGTCAGCAGCTGCATCTAGCTTTGCATTCAATGCCTGTGCTTTTTTCAGGTACCTGTTGACTTCCTGAATGTCCCCATAAGAGTAAAATTCTTCAACTTGCTTAGCATAACTTTCCAGTTCTTCAACAAATCTTTCACATCGCATCTAATAACATGTTACAGTATTTAAGCATATAAGACACACAGATGCATATACAAAAGATAGATTAATTAAATAAATATAGATACTTATACACATACTACAGTATTGTGATATGACATACAGCTTTATGATTCAGTAGCATTTTGAGACATGTGCCATGTCAGCCTGCCCTGTCCATATTACTTGGCAACACTAATTTTGAATTCTGCCAGGAGAACCCCCTGGATCAAGTCTTAATGGATTCAGACTTGCCCATGACTTGTGGAATTTGCCAGTTTGGGGAAATCAAGAGATTCATAAACGAAAACAGAATAGCAGCAGGACCATGGGTGGGTAGGTGTGTCAGCTACCTCCCCACTAATCCAGCATAGCATCCACAATGCAACACAAATCAGTCACTAAAGAAATGGAAACGATGGCTCTGGACAGCAGCACTGATGGAAAAATTAACAGAACGAACCAAATGGTCAAGACATCCTTTCCAGATGACCCCTCATAACAAGTTTTGCAAATAGCAATGCTGCCTTATATTTTCTATCCTCTTCCCTGCCACTTCTATGGAACAATACTTCACTTTTCCTCATACTACCCTGTTTCCCCGAAAATAAGACCTAACCTGAAAATAAGCCCTAGTATGATTTTTCAGGGTGCTCGTAATATCAGCCCTACCCCAAAAATAAGCCCCAGTTAAGTGAAATCCCGCCTTCCATCATTGTGCAGCAACTAGAAGAAGATGGCATGACAGTATTTGAATAAATGTAGATTGTTATGCATGAAGAAAAAATAAAACATCCTCTGAAAATAAGCCCTAATGCATTTTTGGAGCAAAAATTAATATAAGACCCTGTCTTATTTTCGGGGAAACACAGTAAGCTCTTGTATTGCTTCTTTTGTTAAAAAAATTATCTAACTGTTACGTATCTCCATATTTAGCAACTTATTATTTGGATATTCGTTGTACATTTTAAAACTAGTATGGTCCTAAATCATTTTATTTTATCATTCTGTGCTGTAATTGTTTGCTTGTATTATTTTGTTTATTAAAATTTGTTTTAAAAACCCATGCAACAGAAGAGAAAGAAAATGGCAGGGTGGGAATTCAGCTAGTCCTTACACAAGAATTAAAGGACCTATATAAATGAATAGTGGTGATGGTATGTGTAAACAGCTGTATGAGTACAAATGTCACACATCACTTCATTGCACCAACATTGCAGAGCTTCATACCTGTATTGCAACACTTTATTCTTGTACTGGATTATGAGCAGTTATTATGCTCATGTTTTCCCTTTCTTACTGTCACCCTCCCTCATCTTTCCAACTTCCTACCTCCCCATCTTAAACTGCAAGCCCTGTGGGGCAGGAACTGGATTTTGTATTTACACACAAAGCACACTAAAGCTGACTGTACAGTTAAGAATTATTTCTCAACAATCAAAAAAAAATGCTTTTCTCTTTCTGTTGTAAAAGTCCCTGCTCAACAGGGACTTTTACAGCATCCATTTCAAGAGGGCAACACATTTCTCTAGAAGTCCAGAGTGCATTACAATGCAGCTGGAGACGTGCACATGGGAGCATGTTTTCCCCATCATCAGCAATTCACAATTCCTAAAACTGACATCACTCATGCTGGAAGGGGGCAAAAACAGTCAACTTATCCCTGTGTGTTGTCACTCGTCTTCATCAATGTATTTTATTTTTATTTATTTTTCCAGCTTCTACCCTGCCCATCAAGATTCGATGAATCTACTCTGGGTGGCTTATAAAACAAAATTTAAAACAAACAATATCAGACAACATAAAGATAAGCAAAGACCAAAATGGTAAGACTTAGGAAATTAAGAAATGGAAGGGGGGAAGGCCTGCCTGAAGAACCAAGTTTTCAGCTTGTTCTTAAAAATTACCAGTGAGACTGCCAGGCGAGTCTCCAGGGGCAAGATGTTCCAGAGGCGAGGGGCCACCACCGAGAAGGCCCAGTTTCTAGTTCTCTCATTCTGGGCCTCTCTTGGGGTCAAGCTCCTCAGCGGCCCAGCCTGGTTAGATTGAGTGACACGGATAGAGCTAGGTGGGAGCAGGCGCTCTGTCAGATATCGAGGTCCTAAACCATTTAGGGCTTTATATGTAAGCATTAACACCTTGAAATCAATGTGGAAAGGAATGGCCAACCAGTGTAAGTCCACCAGAGTGGAGGAAATGTGATGGTATTTTTTCAACCCAGTTAATAATCTGGCAGCCGTATTCTAGTTCATAGATACCCACTAAGTTTAAAATGACTGCTATTGCAAGCAATAGACTTCGGTGTTATCTCAGTAAGACAGGCAGCATATAAAAATGAGAAAGAAAAGGCCACTAACTTTAAGCCCTTCTTGAAACTGTTCTGTTTTCTCTTTAACGATCTTTCTGTGTTCCTCGAAAATGTCCCCCATTCGTCCGTACCACTGAAAGACACTGTTGTTCAGTCGTATATCTACTGGTGAGAAGTTTGCACACTCTATCAGGAAAGCAAGGTAATTTTTGGCTTCAAGTAATTTCTGCTCCATCTCGAGCATGTCGACTGCTTCCACTTTCTCTATGTAGGCCTAGATGGGAGGAGACAAGAAACAACAGGGATTACTGGTAGCAATGCACTTCTGTGCTTTGGAACCTGCAAAAACAATTATTTGTCTATTAGCAATGGCAGGAATACCTGTGATTGATTGACTTGGCTGGCTAATCTGAGGGGGGGAAACTTCAATCAGACTTCAGGACAGAGAGGTTTATTTACATAAGCATACTAAAATGAACACTGGATTGAATCATTCCATTCTACATAATAAGAAGTCCATTAAAAAAGCTCCTGGAACAGGGGTTCCCCTCCCAATCTGCCTCACAGCCTGGAGGAACCTTCTGTACAACATGAATGCCATACAGAAGGTCTAGAGTCCACAGCATACTCTGCATGTGCCGATCTCAGACAGGATATATTCTGTTTTTACAGGACTCTTAAGACCTACTACGCAAGTAGGCCTAATACCAAGAAGACCTTGAAAGCAAACGTATCATAAATTTAAGCAAGAATTGGGCCTTTTTAAAATGTTTCTGGGTTTTCCCCCCAACATGAAGCCTTACCATCCCAGAAGCTAGAAGGGGCATAAAGCTTCAAAGCTGCATCCCAATTATAGGAAGAGGGCAGGATGAAGCTGGCTACAAACTCAGCTCATGCCCTACGGTGCAAAACAGTGATGGAGAAAAAATAACTCGGCTCTGTCCCTGAAACTCCACACACACACCCCAATTTGTGTTGCCTCTGAATTAAAGAATTTGTGAGCCTATGAATTAGGGTGAAGCAGTACGACTGGATGGAGCGGACAGCTCTTCCACACAAACATTCAGTTTTGATTACCCCACACTTTCATTATTTCACCAAGGGGGTGCATGTTGTTGAATTGCTATTACAGTCATATTTTTGGCATGAGACATCCTTGCCAATCTATTGAAAAACACCCATGAATCTACTTGTAGATCCAGATTTGTCGTCTGCAGTGACTGGAAGGGGGAACAGCTCCTAAGCAGGCACAGATACTCTGCACAAGGGAAGGGCCCCTCATGTTAGCTGCCTCTGAATTCCATATGCATTTCCATCTCATTCTTTCTTTACATTTCTTTTCTTCTCACTTGGAAATTCATATGACATTTCTATGTGCATTTTGCTAACGCATGTATTGTTGTGCATACAAGTGTGTTTGTATATATTTATCGATTGTGTGCACTTTTTAGCTCTTCATATTTTAAAATATTAAGTATGGTTTCATTAGTGATTTTTTTTAAACCCTCAAGTCGCACCCTGAAGTGTGTGCTTTGTCTGCAAAATTCTCAGGAGCTAAACAATGGAGATTTTCACCAAGAATCTTAATTCCACTGAAGTGCTTTTACCTCCCATTTTAATATTCCAGTCATTTTACACATACTGTCACTGCCATATAAGCTTTCTCATGCTTTGGCATGCCAACTACACAGAGTCCCGTTTAACTGTTCAAGACATGAAAGGAATCTGTACAGAATGAGAGAACTAGCCAGAAATGAAGGCATTGTGGTATCTCACTCCAATAATCCAAGTGACTGTTTCTTGAGTTCCACTAAAGATAACATGGAATCAGCTTCTCCTCTTTTGCCCCACCATCTTGGAAACGTTTTTCTTTCAGAGGAGCACTGTCCACACTAATTAGTTTTCCAAACTCCAGAAGTTTCCCATTGACTCTGAAATGTCCTGTGTCTGCCATCTCGGCACAACTGCATCTAGGCTCTGTTTCAGCCCAGTATAATAAAGGCAACACGGTGTGAACTTCTTCTTACAAGTGCTTTTCCATGGTTCGCAAGGTTCCTCCGAATCTACAGAATCATTGGCATCTGTTCTCAAACTAGGAAAACCTATTTCTCTTTTAGAAATATGTACCTTGAATTCCATCAGTTCATGTGTGTTTGATGGAGTAGAAAGGGCCTTCTCTGCTATCTTCTCAAACTCATCACAAAGCCTAAAATTGTAAATAGAAATGTATCACTCACTAGCTTTCTCTCTCTTGATTTCTCCCCACATATCCAACCTTTGTGCAACAAATGTACAAATACAGTCCTTGCTACCCAATGATGCAAGCAAGGTGAGATGCTTTTGTCAAGAAAAGAACAGCCAGTTTCACCATTTATGTTCAGGCAAGATGTGTTGGTGATTGCCTTATGAAGTATCTTTGGGACATCTGTGCAACAGCAGGGAAAACTGACATGGTATTTGAGATTAAGACCACACAACAGTGGTTAGGTTAGTTACCACTTAGTCCTATCAGCAGCGCTCCAAGGCAATCATACATACAAACAGACCAAAAAGTCCAAAGACTTCGGCCTTCCCTCCACCCTCAAACCACAGCTCTAGCAAATGTAACTAAGATGTTTCAAGGAAGTATATAATGATATACAAGCACCAGATGAGGCACCCAATACACATCAGACCCCAGCGAGCATACTGTAGTTTTCCATGTATAAGACTATACTTTTGTCTAAAAAATTTTAGCCTAAAAATTGAGGGTCGTCTTATACATGGAAGTAAGCTGAGGAGAGTACAAAAATAAGTGGAGGGGAAAGCAGGGATCAAATTGTTCCTGCAGGGCTTTGATCCTTGCTTTCCCCTCCACTTGCTAATCCTTAGCAAAAGGAAAGCAGGGATCAAAGCGCTGCAGGATTGCTATGATCCCTGCTTTCCCCTCTGCTTTCTATGTCCCATGGGGCTTAACAAAAGGAAGGGGAAAGAATTAAAGCAATCCTGTGGCTGTATAAGGGGTAAAAGCATCAAAATGATTGTGCAGTTGCAGGATTGCTTTGATCCCTTTCCCCTCTTTTTGCAAGAAGGCTTAGCACGAAGGGAGAAAGCAGGGATCAAAGCGATCCTGCAGCACTTTGATCCCTTTCCCCCTACACTTGCTAAGCCCCACTTAGATTACTTAATTGTGGGTTATAAAAGTGGGGGGGCGTCTTATACATGGGGGTGTCCTATACACAGAAAAATATGGTAAGCTGTAGAGACCACCATTTGTGAGTCAGAGCAGGCAAGGGAAACCTTTGGCTCTCCAAAAGTTTTGCACTTCATCTTCCAAAAGTTACAATCAGCATGGCAAACAGGGATAGCAGGCAGCAGTCCAACACATCTGGAAAGCCAAAATTCTCCACTTTTAAAGGAAGACATTCTGATCCAACAACAACATACCAATCATTCACTCAAGGTCTAGGGAGGCATATGTATCAGGCCCCTTTGTCCTGACTGGATATGTAAGTGACTGGGGAGCCATAAGTTGTTACTAGGAAATCACTGCCCACCAGTGTGACAGAGCCTAAGCCACCAGCGTTTGAAAACATGACTTTACCTCGTGTTGAGATCTTGATGATCTTTGAACATTTTGGCAATGATTTTAGAGCAAATAGCATCGGCTCGCTTTGCCAGAGCCCGGATCAGTTCATCACAATGTACCTCAAACATTCCTAGACGAACACACTGAATCACAAGCATTGATGAGAAAAACACTGATAGCACAAAGCAATGATCAGGTACACAGAGATCCATAGTTGTAACATCTTTTTTTAAAAAAACAAAAATTAGAAATAATCCTGGAGATAACTTACAAAAATGCATTCTTCGTGCTGTTTTATTCTTCAGGAAAAACCCTAATAACTATAAACTACTGAGGAAGTCTCTTATGGGCCTATTCATTATTTTCTCTTGCAAGAAAAAGCAAACACTTTCCTGTTCTTGTTTTCAGAACAATTCCACTTCGGTAGAGTTGATTTGGATTATGCACTACTTGAAAAGATCCACAAACGCTCTTTGGTGAATTAATCATGCACCAATCTTTGACCCTTCCTTAAGACTAACCAAATTGCTTTGAATTGATTTTGAAATATTATTTCAGTGTAATTTCAAGTAAATTATTGGACAATCAGGTACAATAAGGTATTTCACCCTGAGAGTTCAGGAATGGATGCAAGCCAGCTTTAGAAAACACAGGAGGATAATAAAGAATGATTTTCTAGAGTAGACAAAAAAGATAGGTTTCTCGATGCACTGGCAGCACTAAAACTGGACCATGAAATGCAGGTCCAGGGCCCTACAGGCTAGAGATGTCTCAGCTGGCAACATTGGTATTGCATGCCGGTTTCCATATTCCATATTCACCACCCAACCAAGAAGAGAACCTGTTTCTGGTTCTGGAGTTTTTGAATGGATAAAGAGTGAAGCATGAAGGTGAGAACCTTCTGTATCCATGAGGGGTTTCAATGTGAATTAGGTCCCTGAAAAATCAGGATTCCAATTCCTATGAGAAGTCCCTAAAGATACAGGAGGTCTTCCTTCTTCAGACTCAGCAAGAAAAAAGCATTCTTTTTGTGGTGAGCATACTTGGTTTTAATGCCTGGACAAAGCTTGCATGTTTACTTTTAAGCAGAAGCTACGTATGCCACACAGTCTCCCTCCAGACATGTCTGCTATCTTCATTCCAAGAGGAGCTTTCTTGAGGTGTACAAGTGTCTAGGAATGAAGAGAGCAGGCATACATGAGACTTCATGCCACAGCATGCCCAGAAAGGTTTTAAGGATTATTTTCTGGAAACAGGAAGGAAGATACTTTCCCTCAGATGTTTTGTTGAGACACCAGCTGTCTGAAAGCACTGTAGCCTCGGAATGGCCTGTTCATACCAGAATATCTTACGGAATGCTGTGTTTTGTGGCTGCTGAATCCAAAACCGCAGAAAAAATGCATGGAAAATACAAAGATGGGGAGCGGTGAAAAAAGCAGCTGTGGCCGAATTGCTTTTATACCAAACAAGAGACCACTGGATCATGAAAAGAACTCTTCAAAGGTTTCTGCTTCCCCACAGCAACCAACTAGAATGAAAGACTGAAGTTTCATCCCTACTTTTTCAGGGTCGTTTGTCCATCCCCCCCATACCAATTGGAAAAATTTTCTGTTTGTTCCTCGGAGACGGGAATTTCCTTTGAAATTAAATTGTTTTCATCATGCTCATCTTGTTTGACTTTATGAGCGAGCTGAGACACCCCCTCAAGCTTTTACTTAAAAAGCAATGGCAAGGCCTGCCTCTGCCTCCCGGTAAGGGCATGAAGCCACATCGTCTTCCTAAGTACTCGTCCATAATATCTCTGGAAACTATTTTGCATCACAGTTCCCAGGGATGTTTTTAAAACAACAGACAGAGCTTTGGAAACGCATGTACTGGAGCCGGTGAATTCTCTACTTCCATGGTGTTCTCCATGGTTTTGTGGGGAGAGCTTTTTCTTCAACCTGGGAGAGTAGAGCATTCTGAATGAGTAGCTCACACAGGCAGATGGTGGGCATGGTATGCATGTTCAGAATGTTCTTTCTGTTGTTTTAAGAACATAATTATTTTTGCCAGGGTCCCCACTGCCATTCTGAGCCAACTGCTAGGAAATATGGCCTTGTTTTATGCCACTACAAGTAGCTGTAGCTTTAGTTTCCACACAGAGACACAGGCATCCCGGACCTGTGTGCTTTGATTTGGATTCCTGCACTGAGCACGCGGTTGGACTCGATGGCCTTATAGGCCCCTTCCAACTCCATGATCTGACGATTCTATGACATGTAAAATACAGATAACATAGTACAAGCACTCTATGTGTCTGACAGACTGAACTTGAATCCACAAAAGTTTGCACTGAAACAAATCTACTGAGTCTTGAACATACCGCAATATTTTGTTCATGGTATTTCTCTCCCCTCCCCAACCGCACAATTTTGTTTCTATGTTTCACATTGCAGTCGTACATTACCTTTCTGGAAGTGTACTGGATTTCATCCCGGATGCTTTGATACCTGGCGACTTGTGCTGTTATTTCTTCAAAGGTGTGATCTTCCACCAAGAACTGGTCGATGTACTGATCTGCTTGCTTGCTGATCAAGTCATAGTACTTATCGTAGAGTTTGAGGTGCTCAGTGGGTGCAATGCTCTCTTTGGCAATTTCGTCTTTAATTTTTTGCTTATGTGCCTCCAAAATTTCATCAAGGATTATCGGTTTCAAGTTCATGGCTCTGGTCTTACTCTCAGGCTTGCAAGACAACAACAAAAAAAGAGGTGAAAAAGTCACCTCTTTCTCCTTTCAAAATTTTCCTTTGTTTTTAGGCACGTTAAATTAATTGTGAAATATTCCGCTTTAGCAGATTTATCAGATTAAGCGTACACAGTCCTCTGCTCAAGATCCATTCCAGGAAAAGGAATAGATTTTGCAGTGTGTAAGGATCAGAAATGGGAGTATTCGTATTTGTATACGAATACCCCCGCACAGGTGGGCATAACGAGGGTCCATCCCCATGGACAGTCCACTCACCGATCTGCCGCAGCCGCAACCTCCGTGCTCCCTTTCAGTGGCTCTGGAGGTCATGTACTTAATCCGTATTGGAAGGTGGTTCTCAAGTGGAAAAGTTCTTATGTAGAAACTGCATTTCCCATAGGAATGCATTGAAAACCATTTAATCCGTATCTGCTCTTTTCCGTCCATAGAAACTAATGGGAAGCTGCTTTCCACCTTCTACCACTAGAGGGGGATTTTTTCTTTTTTTTCCCTTAAGTCAGGGAACAGTGTTAAAAGCACTTCTGACGAAGCTAATTTTGAAGCAATGGACTGAAAACCAATTAATCCGTTCTGGCTGTTTTTTTTTTTATGTAGAGGTGCGTTCGTACATTGAAGCATTAGTTCCCATAGTGCAAAGCTGGTTAATACGTACTCTACCACTAGGGGAGAACTTTTTTTTAACCTAAGATGACTTAAGGTTAAAAAAAGAGCAGGAAAGTTTTTTTTTTCCTGTTCTTATCTGGATTTTTGTTCTCAAGTAGAAGCAAAATTTAGCAAATGGAGCTGTTCTTAAGTGGAATTGTTCTTAAGTAGGGACGTTCTTAATTAGAGACCCCACTGTATGAATATCCCCATCTCTAGTAAGGATTTAAATAAATGGAGTGGTAAAAATGGCCACTGCACATAACAGATTTCCCTAAAATTGCCAAGAGGACAGGGGAACATCTAATCAAAGGTATCACGATCTCTCCCACGAAGGCATGAATGAGCATTGGGAGTCAAGGCCAGAGGTAGGAGGAAGACAAATGTCCTGTGATGTGCCTGATGTCTACCACTGTCATTCATGTGGTCAGTGAGAAGCTCTGTAGTGTGGATCAAGCTCTGGGGGTTCCCCCCTTTCCCCCCTGACTTTTCCTTTTGGGGAGGGGGGCTAGCTAGACTAAAAGTGATGGAAGCATGTTGCCCCTTTCCCCCTGGCAGGGCACTCTTTCTGATCTCTTGCACCCTCTGAGGTGAGCCACTAGAAGCTGCTGCTGTATCCTTCGCTGAGTATTCCTGTTGCATGCTCTGAACCCTCCCCCTTTGGCAAAAAAAACAACCTTTAGCTCCTTCCTCCAAGAACCATTATGTAGACATTCTGCTCAGGATGCTCTGAAAATGCCATGTCATATGGCGTCCGTCCCCTTGATGTGTCATGCTTTGAAAGGGTATTTGCATGGAATATCAAAATGCAGAACCCAAGTCAGAGGGATGACTGCAATAGTAAGGCATGGAATATCAAAATGCAGAACCCAAGTAAGAGGGATGCCTGCCATTGCTAGCTATGCCACACAGCCTGGAGTGTGGATATTTGGCTCTATCTTACATATTGTGGGGGTGATTATGCCTGGATGTGTCCCTACTGTGAGTTCTCTAACAGCATCCAGAGCACATGGATATTGTTATCAACCATCCCTGGTTGGTAGACCTTATCAGTGGTTCAACAACAACATGTTGTTATAGTTGGTCCTGCTGGTGTATTTCTATGCTTTTTCTTTCCCATCTGTATAAGGGCTGGGCATTTACTCCATAGAGCAGCCATTCTGCCATAGAGGAGACAGCAGCATCTCTGATCTCACCATGATGAAAGTCCAGCAAGCATAGCATCCTTCTGTAAACAGACTACAAGAAAGGTTGGACTGGCTGCACTTATTTGAATTGGAAGGACGACCCACACCATCAAAACCTAATAATATATTAATAGTTGCTATAGCAACCTATTCTAATCATTATGGTAGAGTGAAGATTAGCAGAGCTGGAGCACAAAATTATCTTACAATTATTGTGGACCATATGGTTACAATTATATTTACATCATTAAAACCTCAATCCCAAAAGTTTCTGCATAGTTCATCAAACATGTCAAGAGTTACAACCACCCAATGTTATATATTTTTTCCTAAGAGGCAGCTGCAATAATCTGTTTCAGCTTATCAAAAATGAAATTAAAAGCAGGGAAAGAGGCTTTTGGCATCTTTAAGACAAAGATTTATTTCAGTATGTGTCTTCATGGATAATCATCCCCTTTTTCAGATGCATTAAAAGAAGTGTATCCATAAAGGCTTGTACTACAATAACCAGGGATGTTGGCGGGTCTTTGGGTCCAAGTCCCAAATCCAAGTCTGAGTCTTTGGTACCAAGTCCCAAGTCTGAGTCCCTATTAAAAAATAAGCTCTCCCCTCCCCCGAGAATAAAAGGGGTGGGTGGGTTCCAAGTCACAAGCTGACTTCAAGTCATTGAAAAAAGAAACCCAAGTTGAGTCCAGCTTGAGTTGCCGGTGCGACTTAAGTCCAAGTCGACAGTGAACTGCGTGATCCAAGTCCCCAGCCCTGACAACATCTTTGTTAGTCTGAAAATTTGCACTAACTCCTACACCTCCTTTCTTTCTTTCTTTCTTTCTTTCTTTCTTTCTTTCTTTCTTTCTTTCTTTCTTTCTTTCTTTCTTTTTTGCTTTTCTTACAATGTTATGTAACACTGTTTTTAAGCCAGCCATGTGACCGCAGCATCATGGGGTCATATCCAGCCCTGTTGGTAGTAGAATTTCTATCAAGATGCTTAGAGTGCGATCCAAAGAGGAATCCCCAGATTACTGGCCCACAAACCCCTAATTTTTTACAAAAAAATACCTACCCATTATTTTCCCCAAACTATGCTTTAAACATCCACATTTTGGAAGAAGAAGAAAACTCTGGGGATTCTGTTCATGAGGTAACAAAGAGGAAATGTACACCTTCCCCATCTCACCACAACTTCAGTTTGAATCTTCTTATGCCATGGTTGATATGGGCAAGCATGGGAGATGCCTGGATCAGTGGCTCCCAACCTTGAGTCCTCAAATCTTCTTGGATAAAGGCTCCCAGAAGCCTTCACTACTATATGTACCAGTCAAGATTTCTGGGAGTTGTCGTCCAAGAACATCTGGGGACCCAAGGTTGGGAACCACTGCCCTGGATCCATAGAGCACATAGCCCATCCAGATGTTAACCATGGTATCAACCAGATTGAAAATTATTCTCCCAGTCCCACCGTTTGAAAGGAGAGGAACAATTGCTTTTAGAAAGGTGGAAAGGGAAGGGAGGAATGGCAAATGCCAATCCTGCCTCCCTTCCAGCTCACAAGTAGAAACACTGTACAGTGCTGGACATATCAGAATCTCAAACGGTGAGATTACAATGCTATCCATTGGATCAGTCTGTAAGTGAAACATTTTTAATCTTTAGAAGAGATAATCACATCACAAGTATTTATGGTTACCGTATTTTTCGCACCATAAGACGCACTTTTCCCCCCGCAAAACAGGGGGGATGGAAAGTCTGTGCGTCTTATGGAGCGAAGAAAACAGATTATATTTTCCTGTTTTCTTCTCCTAAAAAATTGGTGCGTCTTATGGAGCGAAAAATAAGGCAATTGATTGCTTTGATTTGATTTTTATACTGTCCATCTGGCAGCCAGGACAGATGAGACAGTATCACTGATGTCAATAGAGAAGAAGTATTTCAGAGGAGTTTCTCTTTCATATCTCAGGTCAGCACTAGCAGAAAAAAGAACAGCAAGGAAACAAAATCTTAATTATTAAGGAACGTCTTACCCATTTTGAATAAAGTTTGGTCTCCACTCTTGGCAACAGATTAACAGCTTTCACCATAACTGAATAAATGTTTAGAAATATGGCTTCATAGTCAGAAAAGGAAGGTTCAAATATAACTTTGTCATTTTCAAGAATTAGTCTCATGATAAATCCCGGGTGTTCGTAGGCTCGTGTAGATTTCTGTCAAATGAGAATTAAGCACACAGAAGGGAAAACCATGGGACTCCTTATAAAATGTGTGTAGGAGGGTCATGCTTAAGCTTTTCAGCTCTGTCCTTGTTTTTGAAGACATTCTGTGTTTTCATTTGTTTGTTACACTTTTAAACTGCCCATCTGACCAATGGTCACTCTGGATATACCACCCAGAGTGACCATTGGTCAGATGGGTAGTTTAAAATGGGTAGTTGTTTTTTTATCACAGCAGAAAGTAATAAAAACACATAACAAGGAAATCAGTAATTCAACAAGCATAAGAAATAGACATAATTTTGAGGAAACCTTAATTTTACAGTTCAATTAAACTAGATTTTCATTGATAAAACACTGTCCTTGTACATCTCCCCAAAACCAAGAAGGGAAAATATGTGGATCTCCAGATGTTTTTGGGCTGCAGCTCCCATCAATCCCAGCCCGTTTAGCCAATGATGATGGAAGGATGTGAACTGAGATCCAATGACCCACAGAAGGCGACACATTCTTCACCCCCTGTCCTAAAATCTGCTCTCGGAAAGCAGCCAGCTGCAGCCTGTTGGGCGCTTTGGCCAGACGGAGACAGCAGACAACCGAAATCATTTTTGTTCAGGCATGCATTTAATATCTAATTTTAACAGACCTAAGGTAAAAGGTAAAGGTAAAGGTTCCCCTTGACATTTAGTCCAGTCGTGTCCGACTCTAGGGGGCGGTGCTCATCCCCGTTTCCAAGCCATAGAGCCAGCGTTTTGTCCGAAGCCAATCTTCCGTGGTCACGTGGCCAGCGTGACTTAGACACGGAACAGACCTATATACTCTGTATTTGCTGCCATTATATCCTCTGTGTTTGTGTGTTTTTAATGCCTTCTTGTTTTACAATCTGCTTTTCAGAGGATGAGTTTAAAAACTTTTCAATGATTCTTGTTTTTAATTGTTTGTTTCAGAGATCTGTGAGCTGTCTTGAGGCGCACCCTTTGAGAGAAAGGGGGCACAGAAGAGCCATAAATATAAATAAATAAAAAAACCAAAATGTAATGAAAATAAGTGCCTAACACATAAAATCCCGCCAACCTAGTGGTTCGAAAGCATGCAAATGCAAGTAGATCAATAGGGACCACCTCGGTGGGAAGGTAACAGCGTTCTGTGTCTAAGTCGCACTGGCCATGTGACCACGGAAGATTGTCTTCGGACAAAAACGCTGGCTCTATGGCTTGGAAACAGGGATGAGCACCGCCCCCTAGAGTCGAACACGACTGGACAGAAATTGTCAAGGGGAACCTTTACCTTTACCTTTAACACATAAAAAGAGCAAAACCTCCTCACAAGGCTCTTCGACAAATGTAAGGAAATAGCAAAGTTCCAAAAATAGCTGAATTAGTAATGGGAAAAAGGAATAAGGAAAGCTAAAGTTTAAAAAAAATCTAAAAAGATGATGAGAAAACCATCATATATAAATCTTTCACTCTTGTGACACCCAGAAATGTCTTAATGTTAAATGAGCCATCACAAAGAAAGGTATGCCTGGTATTAAAATAAAATTTGGTACAGTGGTTGTTTACCTAAACAGCAATCAGAATGGTGCTGTGCAAATAATACAGTATTTATATAAAAAGGGAATTATTAATTCATAATTTGAATATCAATTCATTTTTTTCAGAATCTAATGACCTTCAGGTACAGGTATTATAGAATCACTCTCTCTTTCACTGTGCATATTTTAAAAAAATTTTATTTGCATGGTAGGTTCCTATGCCATCTAACAAACTGCTTTCGATACCCTCCTCCAATTCAAGACATACATATTTAAAAAGATCACGAGGAAGTAAAATCTTGTGCCTATTGCATCTGTTATGTTTCAATGATAATGGAATTTTAGAAGAGATTCTATCCCAACTCTGCATTTCCTACCTGACAAATTCCTAGAAATGTGGAATCTACTAACAGCCCACATTAGAGCAAGGGATCCCAGTTTAAGCACAGTTAGACTGGATGTACGGTTTGTAACTGAACAGAGATATCTAGGGGAGTGAAATAAAGAAACCCAACAGAGTTGGTTGCTCTAGTCTACAGAGATATGGAGGCAGAGCAGCTACCCCTTCTGCTTCATGATCCTGCACTCCAAATAACAATTTCAAAACAGGAACAACAATTCTGTCAGTTTTGATGATACTCCTTTCTACTGTTTTCCATGCCTCTACAGACCTTGTCCCTAAATTCCCATTGTCTTCAAAATAGGTCCTGAATAAACATCATCATCATTTGCAGCAAAATACTCTTAACTGGTAGTGGAAAGAATATAGTTTTTACTATAGACATGCCAAAGAATGGACGGCATTCTCTCTCATTCAGATATATTTTGGCCAATACATTTTTCAGTTTTATCATTTAGGTCAAGTGTGCAAGTCACAGAAAAGAATATGCAGTCCATATGTTTGGAGGACACATTTCATCAAGGGTTGAAAGAGATCTGTTTGTCATGGCACCAAACTTTCCTGAGCTGCAAAGCTTGCGTCTAGCTATGTTTTGTTGTGTGACAGGTCACTGGAAGGTGAACACATATTTAATTGGCCAGTGTGACTGCTGAAACATGCATCTCTACGGGATCTCATTGTAGGAAGAAAAATAGTCTAATTGGAGAAAACACATTTCCACTCTGACACTTCCTTTGACTCTGAAACTTGAACTTTGCTTAAGGGCTGTTTTCTGTCTCTACGGCTATTATATGTCATAGACCCTGTGTCAATTGGTATCAACCTTCCTCTGAGTTTGCATGAACTCTGTCTTCTCTGTTTGGGGTAGCCATAAGTCTCTCTTCCTTAACCTTTCAATCAAACTGCTATACAATGGGGAAAGCAGTACACTTTAACTAGGAGACCAGAGGAAGACTAAGGGCAAATACAGAATTTTATAATAAGAAGAGTCTTCTTAATGTTGTTGATTATAAACTGCTAACTGAATTTGTGCTCAATTTTACTTTTTATTTAATTGTGGCATCTTTTCTTCACAATGCATCCCTGTGCCTCTCATTCCTCTGTATTGTATCTTTACCGCATCTTTGTTTGTTTATCTGAAATGTTGATGTTTTATTCTTTGCAAATGGTACATCACTTGAATATGCTGGGGGAAGGGGAGAGAGAGAGAGAATGTCTGTCTTCCTAGAATGAACCATGCCTGTATAACTTACCCTTTAAAAAAGAAACTAAAAAGCACCATTTTGTAATAGTCACTTGTGATAATGCAGTGAGCACAGAAACATACATTGTTCTGCTAGGGAATGTGACTTACTGGAGGCTGGACAATTAAATTGGTGAAGTCCTGCATGGAAACTAAAGCCAGACTTTGCAGCTGCTGCGTCATTAAGGCTGCGGCACAGTTGAAGAAAGCCTCCAGTTTGGCACTGCTGGCATTGGTGGGCACTTGCTTCCGTTTATTGCCTTGGTAATAGATATTTTGCACTTCTGGAAACCATCTGAAAAGAAAATGGAACAATCTCAAGCAGGAATCCACTCAACGATAACTTATCTAATGCTTAGAGAAGTCATAGTTTCTGATTTTGGTTTCTGAGGAGAGCTCTCAGAATCCCTTGCAGAATTGATCATGGTCCAAAAAAAAGTGACTTTTCCAAAATCTCCAGGATCCCATTGTAGAAGAAAAACTGTCCAATTGGAGAAAACACATTTTCACTGTGACACTTCCTTTGACTCTGAAATTTTGCTTGAGAGCTGTTTCCAAAGACCTGCTTTCAACTGTGTTCTTGCTGATATGACAAAATCAAATACTGTACAAAGCAGAGTTTCTCGATGTTCTTGCTGATATGACAAAATCAAATACAAAGTAGAGGTTTCTCACTGACTGGCTGATTGCTGCCTTGAGTCAGCGCTGCTGCTATAGCACTCCCTTCCTGTTACCCAAGAGAAGGACTTGGCTGGACGCTTCCTGCCTGTGACCTATCCCAGCCTCACTGTCAGTCGGGATAAGATGCACAAGCAAGAAATATCCACCATCAGAAGTCAGCTTAAAGGTTGCCACAGTATCATTTATTAACAAACCACTTGGTACAACAGGGCACAGACATCAGAGCCCTTTCCCAAGTTGGCTAAAGTTTAGTGGTGGAGTGGACAGAGTGATGGACTAGGACTCAGGAGGCCTGGGTTCGAATCCCTGCTCAGCCATGGAAGCTCACTGGGGGTGTGGAATTGGAAAAACCACTCCTTAAAATATCTCACATTGAAAACCCCATTTGGGTCACCATAAGATGATTCTAACTTGAAGGCACAGAACAACAACAACAACAACCCAGAGGGAGAACACAGTTGAGGTCAGCAGAAAATCCAGGGCCACCAAGATGGCATCCAGGAGTGAAGCAAGCATGCCAAACTCTGAGTCACATGCCAAGGAAGGGGGAAGGAAAGTATTGTGAATTTCACTGTTGGAAAACACTACATGTCCATAAGTGAAGCGCTACCCAAGGTAGGGGTGGACCTTCCAGACGTTAGACTGAAATCCTCCTCAGTCCTAGCTAGCATAGGAAGGGGTAAGAGTTGCTGGATGTTGCTATTCAACAATATCTGGAGGGCACAAACTCCCCATCTCAGACCTTCAATGGAAAGATATTTGATCTCTATAAATAGGTAAGAAAAAAACTTTGCATTTATTAAACAAATAGCAATCAATACTGCTATAGTGTTATAATTACAAGCTAATTTGAGAGAAATCAAAATCCAAGGTCTTTAATATTCAAGCTGAAATCTGAAACTTCCAAAACACATTTCTTCCCAACTAAAATATTGCTTCATTCATCCTTTTTCCAATCAGAAAACATTTTGGAATCCCAGAAGATATTCTCAGGCAGCCTTCCCTACCCAGGTACCTTCCAGTTCTGAAGACATCCATTTGGGGAAGACTGTTCTAGAACACTCTGAGAGTGAGGAAAATGTACTTTTTCGGACTTTTTTTTGCCATGATTACAGTGGGAGTGTGTCAGCTGCACCCCCAGGAAGTGACCTTTCTGACCACTGAGTGCTCCTTTGTCATCTGGAGCTTGTGAGCTACTTCTTCTTCATTCTCAGCCTGCGCTGATTTATCTTCTCATCTCAGCAGAAGCAGGAAACACTGCTGGCAATGTTTACCCTCCTTGAAGTTTGGACAGCATATTTGTTGTTGATTTGTAAAACTAAGCACAAGAACTGAGAGGCTCCCTAGAGGCTTTCCCTCAGAGACAGAGCCACATGTCTCGGCAGTAAAGAACACCATATGGGCCGTATGATCTTTCTGTGTTTATGTCAGAAGCATCAGACTACAATTCATAAATATATCAGATAAATTTTGCCCAATAACAGAGAACGCCAGGAGCATTTAGGGGAAGCTAGCATCAAATCTTCCATAGCACATATTAAGGGACAACAGAGTACAGAGACATAGATGTCAAGCTGCCTGTTCTTCTCCGCACTCAACGGGCAGAGTGTGTTGATGCAAAAACCCCATGATTTAGGTTCACTTTCGTTTTGACAACCCTAGTCCATAGTCTATTAAGTAACTTCCAAATAGCCCAGTATTCTGTATGACCAGGAGCTAAATTTTCCTGGAGTTCCAACCATTTTAAGAGGCAGGTTAATTCTTCCTCTCCACATTATAGTCCTGGCATTCGCTGCTGTTTTTTCAACATTCACAGAGATATAGGGGGAAAAATTCCTTGATTTTAATCTGAGAGGGATGAGACAGCAGCTGAAGAGTGGATGTGCATTTGATGCGGATGCGTTGAGTATCCATATTAGCTGCTACCTTTCTCTGTATGTAACTGAGTGAAACACCTGCTAGATAACTGGTCTTCTCAATACAAGTTGGTTCCAAGCATCCAGAAATTATTCTACAACTTTCACTTTGTGGCATGTCTATCTGTTTCACACAGACTGAACTATACCATGCTGAGTTGGTGTATTCTCCTGAAGAATAGCCCAAGATCAAAGCAAAGGTGCAACCACATTGGTTATTAAAAGGCCGGAAGTGCTCCAAGATTCAGACAGGCTGATTACCTCTTTTTTTTTCCTGTTGATCACATAATGCAAAAAGAAACATGAATCAGCCTAGATTCCCCCTAAATCTGTAGCTTTTGCCTCCATTTCTGGGGCTTCCACTTATTTATTAAAAAAAAAACAGATCCACACATATCAGTTCAGATGGTGTGATCACTTGAACCAATGCAGAAAAGCCATCGCATCAGCACACACTCAAAGGAATGGCAAACAGCCTTTCTCCACTGGCAACTTTTAGAAAAAACATCTTAGGAACAGCGAGCAGACCCCTTTTTCATCTGCAAGACTTTTCTTTTTTAGAAGTATGGCTACTGAGGATGGCAGGACTGGCAATATTGCCGATAGATATTTAGGAGGGTGGGAGCAGGAGATTTGGGGAGGGCTGCTGCCCCAAAAAAAGCAACTGTTCGAAGCTCTGAAGTGCTACCATTAGTTTGTGGTTAAAAACTGTTTATTCCCATTCTTTCACTGTGTGTCCACTGGAATTTTGCTCCTTGCCTCCCCTCCGCCTTCCCTTGCTCAATCAGCCACTCACCGCCTCCGTGATCTTCCAGTCCCGGCAACAACTCGGGCTTCTCTGCCCGGCCCTCTGGGCTGATCTCCCACTCAGACAAAAGGGCAGGGCAGAGAAGTCTGGGCTCTTGCTCCTGACTGGGAGATCAGCCGAGGAGGTGGAAAAAGCAAGCAAGCTGGGCCTGGTGAGGAGCCGATCGGTTAAGGAGGTGGAGGAGGGGAGCAGCAGCACCGGTGCTACCGCCTTTATGAATTGGGGCGAACCAGCTCTTGCCCATCTCTAGTTAACATTTCAATGCAGCCATACAAGCAAGCATCCCTAGGCTGCTCCACTTATTTATTTAAAACGTTTCTATTATGCTTTTTGCCCTATCAGGTTTCAAGGCAAGGTGTGGTCAGTTATATCATTAAACAATAGAACAACAAAGAAACTCCTTAGTATTTAAAATGGCTACCAGAAATTTCCATGATGGGAGAATAAAAACATTTGTCTCTGGAAACACAGGCTCCAGATAAGCCTACATATATGGTGAAGACATCCCATAATTAAAGCATGAGTGTTGAGAAGCCTCTTTATACATGTGGCTCTCACGGCCCCAAACAGAGGTTAGCGCTTTTTCGCAAGCATACCACCCGTGCCATGAAGCACGCAATAACCCACTGCTGGATGAGTGGAGAAACTTCACTGCAGAACCAACTACAGTATTTCCAGTCTGCCTAGAAAGTCCACCCACTGATAGCTAATTGAAAATACATGACCCAAGAGGCCTTTGAATGGCATGCGTTTAATTATAAAGAATACGTGGCTCTTACTTCTTAAAAAGAGTGTCTTTGGCAGATTCCATATGTCTCACAACAATGTTCTGGAAGAATGAGAGCTCCATTGATTCCAGACGAGTGTGAAATGCTCCTTTATCAACTAAGCGCAGGTCGCTGTAAGAATATGAAAACAAGAGGCAGAAAGCAGGCTTTCACTTTGTACTTATTTTTGCGGCTTCATACTGTAACAAAGAATCTCCCTTCTGTTGCTTATACACAGCCATCTTTTGTCTGACACAGATTACAACATTTCTTAGCCACTGCCTTAATACTAAATTCAAATTCAGAGCTGTCATATATGCCCTAAGAACTATTTTATGCCCTGTATATGATCTTAAACTGTAGCATTTTAAGTGCACATAGCACTTCATAAGCTTCTGGCTACTTTTTCCTATCTGTAAAAAAAATCATATTCTGGTCACTGCTGTTCCTCTACTACTAGAAGTTGGATATAATAATAATCTTAGAACTGCAGAGTTGGAACAGACCCCGTGGACCATCGAGTCCAGGCCCCCACAAGGAGGCCTAATCGGGGATCGAATCCCCCAGCCTCTGGTTCTGCAGCCAGATGCCTAAACGACTCATCATCAATAGGATCTTAGACCTGCAGAGCGGGAAGGGACCCTCTGGATTGCTGAGTCCAGCCCCTGTCAGGGAGGCCCAGTGAAGAATCGAACTCCCAGCCTTTGGCTCCTCAGCCAAATACTTGAACCATTAAGCTATCCAAAGGTTCCATCATCATAGCTATTTTGACTTTGGATGGAGATTGACTTCAAATAACTTTGAGCTGACTTTAAAAAGCATAGTTAAATCCTTCTGTATGAAGACAGTTTGGAAACATATGAATAGAAGATGTGAAGGTGTTTTACAATTATAAACTCAATGCAAACCTTAAGATAAAAGGTAACGGTAAAGGTTCCCCTGGACATTTAGTCCAGTCGTGTCCGACTTTAGGGCGCAGTGCTCATCCCCGTCTCCAAGCTGTAGATCCAGTGTTTGTCCGAAGACAGTTTCCATGGTCACATGGCCAGCGTGACTAGACACAGAACGTCATTACCTTCCCACCCGTGGTGGTACCTATTTATCTACTCGCTTTTTTACATCCTTTCAAACTCCTAGGTTGGCGAGGAGCTGGGACAAGCGACAGGAGCTCACTCCGTCGCATGGATTCGATCTTACGGCTGCTGGTCTTCTGACCTTGCAGCACAGAGGCTTCTGCGGTTTAACCCACAGCGCCACCACATCCCTAAACCTGAAGATACATGTTATTAAATGAAACAATCTATCCCTTGAACAATGTTTCTGATAAATTAATAAGTATTTTAAAGCAATTAAGATTAAATAATTCACATCTCGATTTTGCCTACAGTCTTTGTTTGCAATTGCTTTTATTGGTTTCAAATTAGACTTATTCAAAGGGCTGTTTACAATAAACAATACAATAAACCATCAGAAAGACAAGAAAGCAGGTCTATATCAAATCAAACCAAACTCATTCTAGAGTCAAATGTTATGAAACGAAGGCTATTTGGGGCACATCACGAGAAGGCAACTGAAAGCAGCAGGAAAAGAGGAACATCAAATATGAAAGGTAGTGACTCAATAAAGAAAAGCATGGACTTTCATTTGCAAGACCCAAGCAAGTCACTGATTCACAGGGTCGCCCTAAATCTAAAATGACTTGACAGCACATGACAGGAAAATAAAAAAAACATGAAAAGAGGCATAACCTGCAACTTTGGAAGAAAAGGGCAATGAATAGCGCAGTGAATCCCTGCCTCACAGAATCCACTTCCGAAAAATTTTATTTTCCATTCATGAGGCCCTAACATTGGCAGCTGTGAGGTGCAGGCGCAGGCAGCTGTGGGGTTGGCAGTGGGATCCATGGCACATGACAGGAAAATAAAAAAAACATGAAAAGAGGCATAACCTGCAACTTTGGAAGAAAAGGGCAATGAATAGCGCAGTGAATCCCTGCCTCACAGAATCCACTTCCGAAAAATTTTATTTTCCATTCATGAGGCCCTAACATTGGCAGCTGTGAGGTGCAGGCGCAGGCAGCTGTGGGGTTGGCAGTGGGATCCATGTGGGTATCTTTAAGAACCAATTAAAGACATGGATGTTTCGGCAGGCCTTCCCATCAGATAATTCCTGACACCCCCTTTTCCTCTCTTATTGTTTCTCTGTCTTGTGTAATGTCATTTGAATTGTTTATATATATTTTTATTGTCTCATTTTATGATTGTTAGCCGCCTAGAGTGGTCCTGACCCGACCAGATAGCCGGGATATAAATAAAATAAATAAATAAATAAAATGGTGGGTCATCATCCGAGTGATTCAATACTTTCATTGGAGCTGCCTGGAAACAAGGTTCTAGTTACCCCCAGTGGGTAGGAAGGCATAACCTGAAATGACATCAGGGCACTTGCAGGTATAATTAATGGAAATATTTATTTGAGAGAAAATAATGTCTTTGTTAATTCAGAAAGGTTGAAACACCAAGTGGTAGTATCTTGAAGAAGAACAAACCCTTGGATTTTGATTAAGTTCATTCAGAGCTACAATTTTGTTTCTGCAGAATGAAATTGATCAGACTCGGTGCCTTCAAAAGAAAATTAGCTCTAGCTTGTTTAAAAAGGGATTATCTTTCTGGACGAGTCTGTCAAATTATAATTTATTAGAGTAGCTAAAGAACTGTCTGATATGCTTCTCTAGCCCCAGAAGACAGAAAGAGAACCAATTAAAGCTTCCCTGTTAGACTCGACTATATCAGGGATGTAAGAGAAAACTAAGTGTGACAGACTTCCCCCCCACCCCCATTCTTTCCTTTTGTGTATGATCTGTTACAATCTTTACTAATCATTACATTATTTGGCATTTTTTTATATTAAATTTTTCAGGTACATTATAAATAAAATAGTCTGAGCTTCAGGGACAAGGGTTTTTGTTTAACTGCTGATTAAGACAAATAATGATACCAATTTTGCTCTGAGGGGAAGAGAAACCTTATTTTGATCAACCACAACTCAGGAAATATTTTAAAGACAATGTTCTTTGGTAATACTTAAGACCCTTCACGGCTTCAGCTGTCAGACCGAGGTAATGCCCGAGAAGAACAAGCTGAGTAAATGTTGTTTGATTTCCCTTCATACTGACAACCAAGGGTGCGCATTTTTCAGCTATTAATCAAATATAATTCCTTTCTCTCTTTCATGTAAGCATTTGTCTGTCAAAACGCTTATGAAAATTTTCATCCAACAGGGGCCATGAGGGTTGTCAGCAGTCTGTCCCACAGGAAATGAGAATTCTGAATTAGTTAAAGGGCCTGGAACACAGCAAGGGGTGCTCTTTTAGCTTTAGTCATTTCTTGTGAGTGGGATTACTTGTGCTGAGTTCCTGGTGCCCTCCATATTGGATTACATTTGCTGCCTACCTGCTTCCATCTTTCTTTCCTTTTTTCGCCTTTATTTGGGGGGGGGGTCTCATTTCTTTGGAATTTTTTCCCTACCAAGCAACCTGCTTGCGCCAGCTTGTCTCTTGGGGTTATTTTTTTTTAAATTCTACACACACATACACACACACACATACACACACACTAACTTCGGGGGGGGGGACTCTTTTTTTGCTGCTGCCTATCTGGCCTGCCTGCTATTGCCTGCTGTCAAAGAAGACAAGAGAAGGCATCAGATGGTGAGGGGACAGAAATCTCCCCATATTCTAGTGGTTTTGTTTGGGGGAAGCTTTGATGGTATTCTTTGCCTTCGTTTGCTTGCTTTTCTTGGGTTTTTTTGGGGGGGTGCATGTTTCTTATATTACCACATTTCCCACTGTGCAGCAGTGGTTGCTTTCCCTATGGGATTGATTTTTAAGGTTTTCTACTTTTGGCTCTCCAGATGTTTTTTATTTTAAAAACTGTTATTTGGTTCATTTACTATGTGTTTATTTTCTTTAAAGCACCAGTCTAGACAATGTGAAAAACAAGGGAGACAGGAAATGGAGGGGAGGGGCAAAAAAGAGAGAGTGGAAAACTACACATAACTTTCTCCTCTGATGATATTTTATTCCAGCTCATGGAATTATTTATCATGCTGTTCCAACTTTTAGTTGCTGGGGGGTTTAAAATTACTATTTTTCAACTGATGGCTGTATTTTAATTATTAAGAATGCCTTGAAAAGCGAGGGGATGCATCTTTGCCAACAATAAACTAGAAAGGGATGAATGGGAGCTGCCTCTTTATTATTTTGGATGTAAAGTTCGCCCTACAGTCACACTGGCTAGCGTTCATTTCATTCCATGTTGCCTGTATTCCTTCAAGCCCCCGCAGCCTTACTCAAAACATCAGAGCGTTCACTTAAGTGAATAAAGTGTAGTAAGGCTATATGATTATATTTTCCCATATGAAGGGTCAGCCCAAGATATTTTTCCGCTTAAGGAGGAAAAGGTGCTGCCCAAAAGATACCCACATGAAGGGGCACTCAAAGCCACCCACATTATTTTGACATAGGCAGGGATTTCTAGAAACACCATCCTTGGCACTAAAATTAAAAGTATGCAAACTAAGTAAGAAACAATCTTCCACCTTTTCATGACACTCAAAATTTGCTGCCTGTGACAGCCCTCTTACTCTGCCTAATCGTAGGGCTGGCCCCTGCCTAGGTTTGCCTAATATGTGAAAAGTTGAAGGATGCACTGTATGTATTTGCTGACTGAAGTGTAACCCTTATGCATTCAAAATATTACTTACGCGAAACTTGTCTGCCAGAGGTCCAGAACAGCCAACATGGTGGGATTCATTGCATGCAAATTTTCATTTATATAGTTGCATGCTGCTATGAAGGACTTATTCCAAGGCTTTGGCACGACTTCCATTCTAAAAACAAAACAAAACAAATCCGTACTGTTATAACCACAAGAGGCATTCAGAGTACTGATAGATCTATTCCTTACAAGCAAGTTTTAAAATTCAGGAGATAAAGCCCACTTTAGAACCTTGTCAGAAATCAAAATGACTCTCCCAGGAAAATATATCAAAATTAAATAGAGTAGGGAGTAAGGTTTTCTTTCAGTTTCTTTTGAAATTCTTTTACTAAGCCAAGATCCCTTGTGAATTCCTAGGCTGTAGCAAATTAATTAGCCTTATGCATACACTTCAGGCAGTTAATTAACCAATTAGAAATATTTCAGGATTCTAATCATACAAAAAGGTGAAAAAATGTAATTCTCAGAGGCACATGGCAGGATTTATTCCAACAAATGCATGTGTGCAACAGAATCTCTGACAGTTCTTCTGTTGCTGGCCCCCATGCCAAGAGAGGCAGATACGGTGCGAAGTACATTACAACACACCTAAGTACCTCCTACTTTGTTTTTGATTGCAATCCTAAAATCCCTGGGAAAGCACCCCGGGTTCATTTTCCTGGTTGCAGCCCGAGCGCTGATTTCAGAGGAAGAGGTCGAACCTCAGACGCCTCTCCCCCTGACCTCGCGGAAAGACCAGGCGGCCCACCTCTCCAATGTTAAGAGCTCAGACATCAGAGAAGGTGGAGCAGATAAGGTTCTGGATCTGCTGGTCCAAAGCCCAACACTCAACGTTTAACCATAAAAGTTTCAGACCACTCTGGACCTAGCTTAAATTCATTTACTCCTGTTACTTAACAATGCACGGAAAATTGCTCTTTTAAAAGAAAAAAGAAAAACAGAAAGGAAGAGCAGAGAGTGTCTCTGGACCCTCCCTTGTGCCGTGCCAGCAGAATCGAGGCCTCACATGTTTACTTTAGGATAAGAAAAGATGGTGGGGTCTTATTCGGCATGTGACACATTTCAGGTACCGTGTAGTTTATCCCTCAGTCCACTGAGAGGAGGTGACAGGGATTCAGGGAAGGCCTCCCTCCTCACTGACTTTGGATGGGTCAAAGTGCAGCTTCACGGCCATCCTACTGACTGACCATTATGGTCTGGGCTAACTATTATTCCCTGTATTGTCTGCTTGTAGCAGAAGGATTTACAGTTTAGTCACTACAGGCAGACAAATACATGGACTGGCACAGTTTACACAGTCCGTCCAAGTGAGGGTTTCCACCTTTTTATGGACAGAGAGCTTCACTGGAAACTGCTGCATAAGAAGCAAAAATCAGGATATGGAGAGTTTCGCCTCCATACAGAGAGGGGGGTGGAATCACCTGATGTCCATAGCAAGATCCTACTGGGACCCTGGCCTTTGCTCTTCCAGATGTTTTCTATTACAACTTTCATATAAAAAAACACAAAAAACCAGGGTGGCTGAGGCTACTGGAAGTCCAAAACATCTGGAAGACGAAAGGGTTTCACATCTGGGGAGAAGAGCCATTGCTCAGTGATAGAGCATGTGCTATGCAGGCATACACAAGATCCCCGCTTGAAGCTCTGATGGTCACTTCTGGTGAAGAACTCTGTAACATCCTCCAAATGTGGGCTGTAGTCCCTAAAAGCTCCTGCTTATAATAAATACCCTGGTGTTAAAAGTGCCACACAACTCTTTGTGGTTTCACTGCCACAAGATTAAGGTTACCACCTCTTTGGAACACACAAATTTCAGTCAACCAGGCTGTGACTACAGGAACAAACACTGCAGATTTGCTGCAGGTGCAAAACAGATGAATTAATTTCTTTTTTACTGATCACATGACACAAAGGTCAAGGCAATCAGTCTCGTCTGTTTGCCTCCCAATGTGGAAGGGAATGATTCAAATGGACTTTCCCCTTGGCCACTTCTTCAAATGAGATCAGTTGTTTTGTTCTCGAAAAAGAATGGTGGGTGGGCGGGTGTGTATGGCTATGGGTGGTATTCTGATGTCCTACTAAGCTGGACATGATATTTTGGGCAACGGGAACAGCAGTCTCACCATCCTTCTCCCTAGCCACCCTGAATTTTTACATAAAAAAACAACAACAACTAAGTTTAGTACTAGATCACTTCTGTGCAAACAGAAATGAGGTAACAATTGATATGAAATAGAAACAACTCTGACAAACTACAGTAGATGGTTCATGTTTCTGCAGTATCTGTAGTATATGTGTTGATGTGTTATAGATAACTCTGGAAAACTGTCCTTTTTCCCTAGAGCTGTGCAACACTTTAAACACCCCACTGGCTTTACGGTGAACCCTAAAAGAGAGCCCAGGGATCAACAGAGGGCAGGATCAAAGGAAGAGGGGCTGTGGCATGGGTCAAAAGACATCAGCTGAGGGGCCAGTGTGGACCCTGGCATTGGAAAAATCAATAGTCCCCATGCAATCGCCTAATCTAAACAGAAGCATAAAACGGGATGCAAATCAAGCCCAAGCAAAGCCAAATTGTTTTGGTTGTTGTGGGTTTTTCGGGCTCTTTGGCTGTGTTCTGAAGGTTGTTCTTCCTAACGTTTTACCAGTCTCTGTGGCCGGCATCTTCAGAGGATAGCACTCCAGAGGACAGCACAAATTGTTTTGCTTTGGCTTCCCAAGGTAGTCCCCACCTGAACCTGAGAATGCACCCCCACACCTGCAGATCTGCATTCAGTAGAGTTTACTCTTAGGCAATTGTTTATAGGCTCTTTCTTAAGTATCTATAGGGCTCTTTCCTAAGACAGTGTGACTTTTTTCTGCTTACAGAGCTTGCTAGCAAATATTTGAAGCAACATTTTCTTACTCTTGACGATGAGGTGGAAGAACCTGCAGCTTGTCTTCCTCTTTTTCCCTGGGATCTCTTAAAACAAAGTCAACTAAAAGGAGGCATGAAAAAAAACAGACCAGAACACAAATCAGCTCAGCAAAACAGAAGAAACGAAAACAGATAAGGAAAGCAAACCAATTATTTTCAGAAAGACTTCAAAGGAGTGATGTAGGAGTAACTAAAAGCATGCAGTTCAATGTCATATGGTTTAAGAATCTTTTACAAAAGAAAACAGAACAAAAAGTGTGTCTATAAACAACCAATTTTTTAAAAAAAGAAACAGCGGTATGCTATGCATGTCTACTCAGAAGTAAATCCGAGTGTTCAGTAAGGTTTTGTTCTTAGTAAGTATGTTTAGGTTTGTAGCCAAAGAAACAAAGATCCATGCCCAGAAACAAAGGTTATTTGTTCTTTGGGGGGGGAAATCTGCTTGTTTTCGCTTCTAAAAGGAATGTGTGGATGCCTTCCAGAAGATTATTTCCAGGAACAATGTGCATTTGGAACTGACAGAGGCACATAATCTATTTCTGGTGGGTGCCATTTGAGTGCCAGATAGAAAAGATGGTTTTCCTATCATTCGGCTTTCAGACAGGCCAACTTTTCTAATGGCAGTTTTGTAAAGGAACTCCAGAGTGTTTCTCATGAAAACTCTGCACGCAGTGGAGGATTCTGGGTGTGACCTGCTCTAAGGTGCAGAGTTTGCTCACACAGAGAGCCGGTCAGGCCTGTTGGGCCTCAGCCATACCCCACCTGAACTGAAAGCAACATCCTGCCCCAAAGTCTCCCTTGTCAACAGCAGGGGAAGATCAGGAGCAACGCACACTGCTTTTCAAAGCTAGGGCCTTCCGGAATGTATTCTGAGGACAAATGAGCTGAGATTTGAGTTATGTTGGGTGAAAGTTCAAGGCTAACCATCTCTGACCTAATAAGAAAAACTGAGTCCCTGTGGACATACCTATGGCTTTCTTGACGCTGAGAAGGTAGTCCTCTCTCATTTCATCAGAGAGTGCATAGATACTTTCATTGAGCACTTTCAGATGATTGGGCACCAGCGCTAAGACATGTTCCAGCCAGGAGTCTTCCATCGGTGCCACATGTTCTGTATCAATGCCATGGCGAATGTAATAGAAATATTTCTGCAACATAACAACATTGCAAGAGTCGCGTGGAAAACCCATGTTAATTCTGATTTTGATAGATGCACGAGTTTTTCCTAATTTAGAACCTGATTCCATACTTAACCTCACCACTTAAACTAATCTGAAATGCCAGTCTGTGGATGTGCTGATTCCTTGTGCCGCTGTGTGTGGCTTTCATACATGGTGAACTCAATTTCCCACACTCTCTTGGTTACTTTTTCAAATGAGAAACTCCTGATGGCAATGGAAAAGCTGGCACAAGCTGTAATGCCAACCTTATAGCCTCAATTTTACAATTACGCTTCCCTCTCCTCCCCTGCTCTGCTTGACAGGCTCTCAGGCCAAGGCGTTACAGATTTACTTACCAAAATATCTTTTTCTATTGCAGCTGTAGACTCAGGTGTGCCAGGTTTTGTTCCTTGGATGTAAAGTGGTCCTTCTGGAATGAAATCTGGTTGCCTGTGAAAACCACTTCTCATGAATAACCCTCAAACACCAGTCTGCAAACCTAATGACTTCTTCCAGGAAGAGATGAAACCCAGCCTCCTGCTGATGGACACGACCTATTCTTCCCTTCTTTCTCGAAATAGACACGTTTGCTATCCTTCCTTCTTTTTTAAATATATTTTAATGCATCTTTATGAACACCCCCATGCAACCTTCATCATGACACAATGACTATTTTCAGCAACAAGCTCTTTTATTGGAACAACACAACTTCTCAACAAGCCAACAGGGCTCAACAATAAACTTGTGAACTTTTAGGGCACCTGGGAGTTAATTTCACTCCTGAACAGTCCAAAGAAAAGTAAGATTGACTTTACAACAGTCCTCATCTTTATGAACACCCCCATGCAACCTTCATCATGACACAATGACTATTTTCAGCAACAAGCTCTTTTATTGGAACAACACAACTTCTCAACAAGCCAACAGGGCTCAACAATAAACTTGTGAACTTTTAGGGCACCTGGGAGTTAATTTCACTCCTGAACAGTCCAAAGAAAAGTAAGATTGACTTTACAACAGTCCTCTACTGCTGAATTTCACTCCTGAACAGTCCAAAGAAAAGGAAGAGTGACTTTACAACAGTCCTCTACTTGGGCCTCCAGATGTTCTTGGACTTCATCTCCCAGAAATCCTGGCCAGCAGAGGTGGTGGTGAAAAGGCTTCTGGGAGTTGTAGTCCAAGAACATCCTCTTGGAGGCCCAAGATTGGGGACCACTGCTCTACTGGGAGGCGCAGAGCCCTGCCTCCTTGACCAGTTCCAAGATTGCACGCAGGTGGGCTAGCCACAGCCAAAGGCTGTTTTGACACGGGTAGGCTCACTGGAGTAACAAGGGGCAGAGGGAGGTGGTACAGGAGGAGGGCCTGCTGCCTGGTGTCTGGTAGGCAGACCAGGTGATCAGGGCTGGTCGCTCCTGTTGTTTCCTCTGCTGGTAGTGTGCCCGCCCCTGGTTCTCTATCCTTCTAGCTTTGCGTCGCCTGACTTCACCCCAGTGGACTCAGACTGCTTCCTCAGGAAGCACCAGGAACTTCTCCCAACTTGTCCCAGCGTCTGAATCCCAACCACAGATAATTTCCCAGCTGGCCATCGAGCGCTCTAGTAATGATTTGGGCTTAGAAAAGCTCCTAATCCACGGGGTCAGCCCAGCAGTTCTTCCCTCCTCCTCCCCCCCGTCCCCCTCGCTCTCCTGCTTAAATCCCCACTCTGCCATGGCTACACGTGGGGCCTCCAGGGCGTCATCTGCATCTCTGCACCCCTGCGCAGGTGAACTGCGGGTAGGGAATCTCACCCTCGCGTTCTGGGAGGTGGAAAGCCCACTCTCACCAGCAGGGGGATCGGGGCCAATCCTAAATCTTTCACAATGGGAAAAAAAACAGCTTCTCACCCCAAAAAATAAAAATTAAGCTTACATGATGATATTAACAAGAGCACTTCTGAAATTTTCCCGGTCCTTTTTACCACCAGTCCTTGCTTTAGAAGTCGATGGCCCAGCATCAGGATCATTTCCCGAAGAGTCCTGTACTTTACGCTTTTTAGCTCTCTGGGCCAAATATTCTCCTTGAGGAGAGAGAAAAAGAGCAGATTGTATATATAGCTGGAGAAAGCTCTGATCTGTCGCTAGACATACCAAGATGCCATACTTTCAGTGAGAAGGATACTTCCACCTGCCTTTTTCTCAACTGTCTCTTACATATTGCATTAAAATAATAAGCTCATAAGTTACAAGCTCTTGGAAGGGAACAAACAACAAGGGCTAGACAGTGTGGTTTTTGAAGTCAGCCGGTAGCCAGCCCTGGAGGCAACCCCATCACACAATACTGTGAGGAAGAAACATGAGGACAAGGCCCCTTTTCATGTACCATCTTCCCTGGGAAACAAAGGCTCGGTGCGTGATCCATGGGCACAAACATGACATCTGATTGCATGGAAGATCGAATTCTGTTCAAGAGATAATATCTATAGCCTTCCCAGACTTTTATATGAAGTAGCCTGGCTGGTTAGAGAAAAATTAGGAATGATTTCTCCTTATTCCCACCTTGAATCAAGGTTGCCTAGGATCACAGCAGGTCACTGGTTAGGCTACATTCTGCTTGTCAGAGCAGCAACTACAGGCACTGCACAGCCAGGATCACAGCAGGTCACTGGTTAGGCTACGTTCTGCTTGTCAGAGCAGTAACTACAGGCACTGCACTGCACAGCATAATATTCCTGAATTCAGCACCAGGATGATGCAAATTCCTTCTTTTCCCCCCTCCCCACCTGCAGATGTACAAACTTCCAAAAAGAAGTCTCCAGAGGGCTTCCCACCTCACCCAGAGCAGAGTTTGGGGATCCATTAGGGGAAAGGTTCCCAACCACGGGTCCATGTTCTGGCCAGGAGTTGTAGTTCAAATATATTTGGGGAGCCAAGGTTGGGAAGTGCTGCATAAGGGGATGGCGTGCACCACTTCACTGCAAAAGAAAGCCGGCGTTAGATTCTGCCCAAGCAGACCTGCGAGGCTTTCTCTTAGTGATAGATTAAAACCTTGATCAATAAACTTTTAACTTCCATTCAGTTCTGTTCCATCTACAAACTGGTTACCAGCACAGCTTGGAAATAACATGTTAAGCACTTGTACGCTGGCGATAAAGGAGTTACTTTTGCATTAACACGGCAGACACACAAACGGATGCCTCTAACTTAAACATAATATTTTGAAAATAAATCTTTAACATTATTTCCATCACCATTTTCAGAAGGTTCGATGGTGCATCCCTTTGGTTCCCCTCCTGTCTACCCTGTCAATCCTTCATAATATTCCACGGCCAAGCTGATAAAATGTGGACTAGATGATGCTACAGTTACATTGACTTGCAGCTGGTTGAGAGGCTTCAATCACAGCGCGCTCGCCAATGGCTCATCATCATCATCCTGGAGTGGGAGGAGGCAAGTGGGAGTGACACAGAATTCTGTTCTAGGCCTGGTGTTGTCCAATATTTTTATAAATGGCTTGGACAAAGAAATGAAGGGGGTGCTCATTAAATTTGCAGATGACATCAGACTCAGAAGACTAACACATCAGAAGATAGAAATGACCTTAACAGATTAGAGAAGTTGGCCAATACAAACAAAACGAGTTCCAACAGGAAAAAAGGTAAAATGCAGGAGTTAGGCAGGACAAAACAGAGGCGTAAATATAAGTAAAGGCTAGCTCAGAAGTGGTACAGGTGACAAAAGATCTAAGGGTCTTAGTAAATCACAAGCTAAATATAAGCCAACAGTGTGATGCAGCAACAAAAAAAGCAAATGCTATTCTAGGATATATCTAATATCTGAAGGCGGTCATGTGGAAGGTTTGTTTTCTACAGCTCAAGAGGATAGGACCAGAAGTAATGGATGCAATTCACAACAAAGGAGATTGTGGCTAAATATTACGGAAAACTTCCTAACAGCAAGTGCTATTTGACAGCGGAATCAACTCAAGAGGAAGCTGGACTCTCATTGATTGAACATTCTCAAGCAGAAGCCAAATGGCCATCTATCAGCGATGCTTTAGCTATGGATTTTCTGTGCTGGTAAAGGGCTGGACTAGATGACCCTTGGAGTTCCTTCCAGCACTACCATTCTATGCTTCTGTGGTTCCATATCATTTTGAAGCTCTAGCCAACTCACTCCTTGTGTGAGTTATAATAAACACAATGGTTAATAATTTTGCCAATTATCCTGTTTTACCAGTTATCTTATTTGAACATCTTTAAGAGTATTATGCTTACTCTATACTAAAAAAAAATTACATCATTATTAAATATATATAATAAATATAACATGCACAAGATGATCATATCTTATGAATTATTGTGCCAAATGACATTTTACAAACCATTTTCAGATCTATCCATATTCTACCCAAACATTCTGTTTTATCCTTACCTGGTGTTAACTCATTTTTCAACAAAAATTGCTCCGGAACATGCATGTCCTTTTCTTCTCGGAGTTGAAACGAAAGAGGATTCTGATGCCATAGTGGTTTGCAGTTTATCTGGAAGATTTGATTCTACATTTTAGAAAAAATGCCGACACCTAGCACTGCCTCTTGCCTTTAGTGCATTTTTAAAGTCAATTCATAAGCTTTATCAAGTAAGGGGTGATACCACAACGTGAAATATCCCTCGCTACACAATGGAAAAAGAAAAGAAATTGGAAGTCTCTAGAAGTTTAGATACGATGCATCAAGCTATGAAGATCTCTATGGGCTCTGGTTGCGTCCGTAAGCCATGTATGGTAGGAGGAAATGGGCAGACCTTTCCAGATGGAGTATAGCTTGGCTAAGTGTGTGTACACTGTAGTCCAGATGGAGCTGTTGCTGTGGGCATGAGGTCAACCCACATACAGACCCTACATACCAAATGTGACTGCTATGTGACATCACGTCACTTCCAACTTCTGGCAAGCTTATGCATTGATAACCCCCAAAGGGCTCTATAGTTAATAGTTCCTGCCCAGATCTTGCAAATTCAATGCTGTAGCTTCTTTTACTGAATAAATCCATCTCATGTTCAGGCTTTCTCTTTTCTTACTGCCTTCCACTTTGCCTAGCATTACTGTCTATTCTTCTCATGACATGTCCGAAGTATAATAGCCTCCACTTGGTCGTTTTTACCTCCAGGGAGGGTTCAGTCTTCATTTGAGCTTTAAACCACTTGTCTTTCAAAGTAATTAGAAATTCCATCATGTGAATGATCTCCAGCAACACATCCTTATACTTCCTGATGTTTTCCAATTTCTTCTTAGCAGGTCTTCAGAGTCTCAATTTTCTTCTGATTTTTTGTTTGCAGTCCTCATTTGACTAACCAATGACTTAACCAAGGTATTAAGAAAAATTACATCTGTTTTGGAAACTATTTTGTTTCTCCAAATTCTGTCCTAACAGTAACTTCTGGTCCGGATACAGACTACATAACGGGACAAAAATCCCCATTTCTATTTGAATAGTCCATAGCTTTTCATGATTCACCATTAACAGCTTTACTTTAATGTATAAAGCACAGATTGATTTTCTTCTGGAATTCTTTGGATCACACCAATACTCATTGTATATCTGCAATATGATCACCAGTGATTCTTCCTTTTCTGAATCCAGCTTGACCATCTGGCATGTCTTACTCCATATATGTACATTTTTGTTGGAAAATCTTGTCACTTTTCTTTGATGGAAAATTAGACATGGGGACAAATATAAAAATGAATCACAATATTCAACTAATATGGATATTAATCATTTCATATTTGTGAGGTCCAGAGACCCTGATGAATACAAAGCAACGAATATAACCCTTTTATATTCGTCCCTTCGTCTTTCCCTCTCTGCTTATGCCCTCATGGATCAGCTGTTCCTTGGAGGCATAGGCAGAGAGGGGTTTTCCGTTCAGGTGGCTTGCTCACTGCCTGCCTGGAGGGAATCCCACCCCCATTGTCTTTACAGACAGCAGGTGGGGGGGGGGAGGAATTCTCTTGAGCAAGCCTGTCCAAAGGGAATCTCTCCCCCATTTACAAAGACAGTGGGGGAGGCGATCACTTCAGTCAGGCTTCCCCTGTCTATGCTGCAGAGGCATAGAAAGACAGGAGAAGCCTGAGCGAAGGGTTTCTCCTCCTCTTTGAAAAAGTGGGGCGGGGATCCCTTGGGAAGGCTTGCCCAAAGGGAAATCCCCCCCCACTGCTGTTTGCAATGAAACAGAAGCTAGGCTACTGGAACAGAGACCGCCATTCCAGCAGCCTAGCTTTCATTCCAGCAGAGGTGGCGACAGAGCAGGAGGAGACAGCAGGACAACGTAAGTGACAGGGCAGTAGAAAGGGGGTGGGGGAAGGCTTGTGAGGTGGGGGCTCAGTTTAATTTATTTAGACAGCTTCACAGGCTGTCTAAAAAAGACTCAACGAAAGTGACAGGGCAGTAGAAAGGGGGTAGGGGAAGGCTTGTGAGGTGGGGGGCTCAGCTTAATTTATTTAGACAGGTTCACAGGCTGTCTTAAAAAGACTCAACAAACTGACAGATCGGTTTGTAGTTTGTTGGTTCACTGGGGGGAAATTTTGGCAGTTCATGCCCACCTCTGTGGGAATGACAAATCGATTTGTAGTTTGTTGGTTCACTGGGGGAAAATTTTGGCAGTTCATGCCCATCTCTGTGGGAGATGAATGCAATGGTCTTATAATGACTGCAGTTTTTCAGCATCCCTAAGCTTGATTTAAATTTCCCTTTCATTTCTTAGAATTTATGAAAGACAACTCTGTTTTTTTTTCCCTTTCTTATATTTCTTTGAACAGATTATTGCAATAGTTTTCTATCTCCTTGTATGCAAATTGCTGAAAAGTTTCTGTCATTTTTCACTTTTGTTTCTCATCTGTCATTAATGACTGTAAGGGTTTCATCATTCATCTATCAAGGCATTTCTTCTCTTTTGGCTACAGAAATTTTCCTTTTGAATTCTTCCCTAATAATATCTCTAGTTTCAACCCACGGTTTTTTTATTTCACAGTCAAATTGGTTTAGTACAGTGGGGTCTTGACTTGAGAACTTAATCCGTATTGGAAGGCGGTTCTCAAGTCAAAAAGTCTGTAAGTCAAGTCTCCATTGACCTACAGTGCATTGAAAACCGATTAATCCCGTAACAGGCCGTTTTTGTTCCATTTTGGTTTTTTTCTGGTCTGTAAGTCAAATCTCAGTCTGCAAGTCAAACCTAAATTTTGCGGCCAGAGAAGTCTGTAACTCAAAAAGTCTGTAAGTCAAGCCGTCTGTAAGTCAAGGGCCCACTGTAATTTGTTATTTACATTCATCAAAAATCTCATTTAAATTCTGTTTTGGCACTAACAATTTTTTAAGTGTTTTTCTTCAGCTTTACTCTAATTTTTATTATTAACAGTTTGAGTTCTACACTACATTCTGCTTCTGTTCTTATTTTTCCAAGCAGAATAGTGCTTCTCCACAAAAGCTTTCAATTGGTAGCATAATTTAAATGATTATTATTCAGTCTTCCCAGAAGACCTTCTCCTCTTACTATTCCAAGAAATCTATCTGACATTATTCTGTCAGACTTTTCATTATAGCCCCCGATTGCATGTGCTCATCTCACCTCAGTATTAGAACCAAGCTCTCTGTGGAATTGGTTGTTCTCAGAGTAAAATCCTTTGTGATTATTTAACTGATAATTATTTGACAGTCCACTTTAGTTTACTCATACCAAGCACTACAATGTGTAAATGTTTCACTTCTTGTTTTACAGTTTCAAATTTACTTTGATTCATACTTCTCACATACCATGTTCCAACTGTATCACTTTTCCAGCATCAGACTTTCTGTTTCGTTCTACACAAATTGAAAACTACATGTCCTTCTGCCTTTAATTCAGTTGCTTCATTAGCCACCGTTCCCTTCGTATTTCTTCTTGTTCTTCCCCAACAGCTGGTTGAATGTCTTCTGACCTGGGAATTTTCCAACACTGTTCCTTCTTTCATTCAGGATTATCTCACCACAGGGTTTTCAAAGCATATAAAATTCAGAAATAATTTACCATCCTCTCCTTCTGTGCAGTATTAACAAGAGCGCACATGATTACTTTGTCTGAGCACATGAGCCAAAAGAAAGAGGGGAAAAAACATTCAGCCTTGGGTGGCCCTGCTAGGAGTTCAGGCTCATTTGTCTCAGTTTTCCTGTCATACCCAAACTCCTCGCCACATGAAGGTGTGCATTTGGGGGATACCCCCCAAATGGACAGGTCTAAATCCATAAACCTGCATGAACATGATGATACCAATAAGGGTGCGAATATGAATGTACATCAGACTTGGCAAAACAGGCAGAATGATACTGACATGGATTTCGCCTGCTGGATTAGGGTAACTACCATCTCCCTAATCTAGTAATCTGTTTGTGATCCCAGGATAGGCTTTATTGTCCTGGACAACTTATACCACAAACAGAAACCTGCGTTTGGGGGCTGTCACGTGGGGACAGTACATACAGATCTGCCTTATGTACACTTAATCAGCAGCTGGTGTCACCAACCCGCAGGTGGCTACTGGCCCACAGAACGGCTCGTATTACTCAGACAGCCCCAAACACCCAAGCAATGCCATGTACCAATCCAAGACATTCCTATATGATAAACATGGATTTGCATCCCAGCCTTTTTAAAGGCAAGGAAACCGACAGCCACTATAAGTGGGTTTTTTACTCATGCACGGCATTACAGTCATGCAATGTTTTGCTATTTATAGCTCTCCTTGGTAACAGCGCATGGATACCTTCTGTAAAATGAGGCCATGGTTCACCAGGAACGTTATCCGAACAAGCTTTATTGCTTTAGGTCATCACAATATATCAAGAGCAACCCAAAACATATATAGCACTGATATAACACATTTATACATAAATATCAGATGACATAGCTTCCCTTCTTTCATCAGACTTTTGATGCTTGATGCATATTTTCTTTGCTGCCAAAACAAATTTTGCTACTTGATAGGTAGCTGTTACATCCCTACCTACAAGCAACGCACAAAGTTGAGCTAAGGGGTGGGAGGGTGTCTATCACCCAGGAGTCTGAGAATGCCAGCAAGACGTTGACTTCCAGGGTGCTCGTATAAAGAGCAACTTTTTAAAAAAAGGAAGACATCTTCGATTTCTCCTGATAAACAAATACAGAGTCTTTGATGAAATGGAACACTGTCAGATCTCCCCTCCAACATGGCAGATGGCATCCACGGAAAAACGCAAAGCTGTGTCACCGTTGCCTGTTCTGGTGGACGGGTGGGGCAACCAGCGTGGTGTCGCCGTTCAGAATGGCACACTACGGCCAGGAAGACCCAGATTCTAATACCCGCTCAGACACAAAGCTCCCTGAATCGTCCTGGGCAAGAGAGGGTCCGTGTCAGACTCACCTACCTAACAGGAGTTGTTGTGAAGTGGTCGTGGGGGAGCCGTGCCTGGAGATGAAGAAAGGCAAGACAGAAGCACAACACACACAAATCACCCTTTCAAGAGGTTTGCAGTGGGGCACCTCGCATGCATTTTCGGGAGTGCAAGGAGGAACTACTGGCACTTTGATTGTTTCGGACCTCCGGTCCTAGGAGTCCAACTCAGCTTGGATGATAAGGGATTATGGGAAATGCGGTCCAAAACATCAGGAGAGGCAAAAGGTTCCCCACTCCTGCACTGTAGCTTTCTCCATGTTTTGGATGCTATGCTGTTTATTTATTTTAATGATTTAAAATATTTTTACCCCACCTTTTCTCCTTAAAATGGACCCAAGGCAGCTTACAACAATTAAAAGACAACATTTAAAAGCTAAAAACAGTGAGCAATCAAATATTTAAAAAGAATTAAAAGGTTTAGCCAAGAAAAAAAATATGTTTTTTCAATTACCTTATCTACTTGCGGTAAAAATTTTGTCGTAGTTTTTTCTAATTTCCCTTTGTTGGGCAGTTTGGGCTGTGGAGAAAATATAAAAATAGACAAAGCAAGGTGTGTTTATAAATAAGTGTCACCTGTAGGATGAACATTTTAAAACATGCTTAAGGCCGTCATACGTATCACCCTCGCTAGAGGGTAAGCCCCAGAGAAGAGAGGGTCTTATCTCTGAATAAACATGCACAGGCTTCTGCTAATACTCATTAGGTACACAACCGGTGTGTTTTGCAGGATGCAGGCCAGAGATGCTCAAGATCCCAAGGTTGTCAGGATCATGACATCTCTCCCTTGCAGTGGAAACAGCTAAATTTTGCTCCAGGTTGACTGATTGTATAGGCAGGCAGGCAGAATCTTTCCTTCTCTGATTTTCTCCTTGACAACGACGACAAAAATGAAGGCAGTGACAAGCCCTTTCTCTAGTTCGCTGAGAGTGTCAAATAAAGATAGGAAGCTGTCTTCTGCCAGATACAACACTAAACCAGGAAGGAGCTGCAAACAGGCACAACCAACAATAACTGAATTATTCTTAACAAGCCAGGATTCTTGCACATCCTCGGATTGTCTTGTTGTAAACGTACTCTACCAAGTGTGATGTAGTGGATAGAGTGATTGACTAAGATACAAGAGGCCTGGGTTTGAATCCCTGCTCAATCATGGAAGCTCAGCGGGGATTGCAAATTGCAAAACCACTCCCTAAATATCTCACTTACATTGAAAACTTTATTAGTCAGTTCCATCCTGACAGCACATAAATAACAAATACATTCATATTTCCAACTTACTTCCTTGTATCTGCTCCCCACATGTCAGTATGCTCCACTTTTTTTGGGGGGGGGGAATTAAAAGCTGTACATTTTAATGGCATTGTTGTGCTAGCAACACTAACAAGATGGGGGTTTTACAAGAGCTGCTGGATCCTAAATACTTTTGCTCCATTGAAAATTCCTCAGTGCGGAAAGGACACTTGACTAATTAGGACCCATTCATTCACTTTCCTCCATATTTTGAAACAAGGAACTGAAGAATGATTCAATTATCAGAGCAGATCATTGGCTCTCAAACAATTTACCAGGCGCATCTTCTGAAATGAAAACAATGAAGTTCTCCAAAACATGGGTTCAAACGTGGTGCCTCATCCATTCTAATAACGTTGGGCTTGTATCCTGCTGCTTAAATGTGAAGCCAAAAGGAAACCATGTAAGTGTCCTTCCCTACTCCAGCACTTCCCCGTTGCATAAACAGTTGCATGAGCAGTCGGGCAGCCACTGTGAGAGTGTGAATGCAACTTAATCCAGAGCATTCTGTCAGAGCAGGGGAAGTTTACATGACTTCTCTTCACGCCACAAATGCACAACAGAATACCAGCCTTGGGGTTTTATAGCCAAGCAACACCTGTCCAAAACTACTGGTGGCCCATGGACTAAGCCTTGGGAGGGGTGTCTGATCAGCTTTATGTTTATCTGATTTGGCTTTTTGCAGTATATGTCAGTACTTGAAGCTCTGCGTTTAATTCTGTTTTATGTATATGGCTTGATGCTGTAACAATAAAAGTACTGTATGTATATACCGTATGTATGGGAGGAATCCTCGCCTATTCCCCTGTGTGCATTCTAATGCACAGTTGAGTCCCTACATGAACAGGTTTTCCCATTCAGTTCACTGGGAAACCATTTACAGTGGTGCCTCGCATTACGACGTTAATTCGTTCCAGCGAAATTGCTGTAGAACGAAAACGTCGTAATGCGAAAAGAAAAAAAACATTGAAACGCATTAAAACCCGTTTAATGCGTTCCAAAGGGCTGTAAACTCACAGTCCAGCGAAGATCCTACATAGGGTGGCCATTTTCGCTGTCTGTGCAGCGAGGAATCCGTCCCAGAAAACAGCGGGGGGCCGTTTTGTTTACCCGGTGGCCATTTTGAAACCACCGATCAGCTGTTGGAAAATCATCGTTTTGCGAAGAATCAGTTCCCGAAGCAGGGAACCGATCATCGCAAAGCGAAATTCCCCCATAGGAAACATCGTTTCGCGATCACAAAAGCGATTGCAAAAAGTTCATCGTAATGCGGTTTTGTCATTAAACGGGGCAATCGTAAAGCAAGGCACCACTGTATATGTGCCAAAAGCGGTGGGGGGGATGAACTAACAGAAAAAAATTGCAATTTGAAGTTATATACTAAGAAGTAAGGAAGCCACAGAACAGTCTCAGCTACCTGTTGTCAGTAAACTACCTGTTGTCACATAATGATGTGTTCTTCTAATACTTTTACTTAACCAATTAATATTGTGTGTTGTACGCTGGACGAATAGCTCAGTGAGCTGGTTATATGGCTGTGGAGCCAGAGGCTAGGATTTTGATTCCCCACTTCCTGTGCCTCCTGGGAGAAGAGCCAGCCTGTGTGGCCTTGGGTGAGCTGCATAGTCCCAGAGCACCCCCAGAAGAAGAGAATGGTAAAACCACATCTGTATATTATCTATCTAGAAAACCCTGGAAAGGGGTCACCGTAAATCAGAATTGACTTGACACATCATCATCATAATTAATACAATTACAATTTGGGAAGAAAATACAAAAGCAAGTTTCCAAACGCCAAGAGGAGCCCCATGTAACCTATTTTATGCCATAAATGTGTTCCCTCTACATTTAAAATGCCTATAGAAGTAAGAGGGAAATTCTGGCCCTTTAAGATGTTGTGAGGACAGAAACCCTCGTGCAAACTGTCTGCTTAAGTTTACATTTCAAAAACTAATTTAAAAATTATACGAACAGCTGCAAGGAAGATTAGATCCTTTTTAAAAAGCTTGACTTTGAAGAGCTGGGGGTTGTATTTTTGTTTTCTTAGAGGCTGTCATCCTGCAATCAACTTTCCACTAATGAGACGAATATATTAAAGTCTCCTTCAACAAATATGGCTACGCCACCTGCTCCTTCCTCAAACAACATGAATGTTTAAGTAAATGTCAGAGAGGGAGGAAAAAAGGCAGTTCAAAAAAAGAGAGAACGCTAATCCAGTCTATCTCATCTATTTACTTTATGCAGAAAAACAAAAACAAAAAGTTCTAACCACTTCAAAGGGAGCAAAAAAACACACAAAACAAATGGTGCCTTTTCTGAGAAACATTAAGTAACAAGACTTGCTTCGTCGTCTGGGACCAAGCTAGTGAAAGAAGGCCCTCTGCTGCTGAAACATATTATGTACGCATTCTTCACACCGTGGACCTCGCCTCCCAACCCTGACGGGTCTTCTGCCAATTTATTTCTCGTAGCAGGTTGCCCTGCATCTGGTTTCAAAGTCCGATTTCTATACTTCTTTCTACCTGGACGTGTGCACCGAGCCAAAGCAACCAACTCATTGCAATCATCAACACGAACAAACCACAGAGTTTTACTGCGCATCCTGGCAGGCTATTCCCATGCATGGTTCGTGGGCAGTCCTCCCTTTGGTGGGCCTCCAAGTCTTCTCTGATCCCACCGGTAACGCAATTTCATCCAGGAAGTCAAAACATTCCTGCTTTAAAATGCACTTAACGCTGTTGCTCCATCTTTCCGGTGGGTTATGAGATTTGACGCTGTGCGCTTTTGGCTTCACCGTACCATTCAGTGGAGCTTTGTGGAAGTCAGAGTGGTGTAACCGACGGCGTGTCGGAGTACGGCTCAGGAGAAGGGTTCAAATCCCTGTTCAGCCACAGAAACCCATGGTGGGTGGCAAGAGTAAACCCCTCCTTAAACTGTTCACATACCTCGAAACTCTTAACTAGGGTTGCCGCAAGTCAGAAGTGACTTGCTGGTACACAACAATGTCTGTTTCAGTGAACAGCTGTTTTAAAAAATGCTGTTTGTATTTGCTAAACTACCTTGAGCAGCACCTTTTTGAAGAGAGGAAAAGTAGGGGATAAATTCCTTCACTATGCAAGCCTGACCTACTATTCTAAGGGGCATACAAGGCGGTATTGAAGGTGCTGAGCACAATATGGAGCAATAAGCAACTACCACGGGTGTTGGCAGGTCTTTGGATCCGAGTCCCAAGTCCTAGTCTGAGTCTTTGGTACCAAGTCCCAAGTCCGAGTCCCTATTAAAAACAAGCTTCTTCCCCCAGAAAAAAAAAAGGAAGGGGTGGTTGGGTTCCAAGTCGGAAGTCAAGCCCGAGTCGAGTCACCGGTGTGACTTAAGTCCAACTTGACAATGAGTCCCACGACTTGAGTCCCGTCCCTGGCAGCTGTCGGGTCTTATGTTGCTGCTGTTCTGCAGCCCACTAATGTATAGAGGCTTTCCCCACGGAACCCACTACGTTCCTAGTAAAGGCCATGCAGAGGTCCAGGCAATGGGGCAGTAGAAGCGGAACAGAAAAGCAGGAAATATATGCATGAAAAGGAAGAGTGCAGGATCATAAGCTTCTAGGAGGCTTCACATCTGACAATGAGCTGGCAAATGGATGTAAGTGAAGAAGATGAGAATTATCTACAGTATATTGAACCATCTTAATGCAGCAGGCATTTTCAGCAGGAGCTAACCAAATGCTTTAGCATGGTGTTCTATGATTTCAAGGCACGAGCAGCTGACTCAGACCTCTTGTCTAACCCAGATATCTCTGTGATAAAGCCCAGATTCCTTCCCTAATTTATAAAGTGGGTGCAAACTTCTCCGCCCATTTCATAGTTTTGATGATACAAGAACTGCTGTCTACAGTAAATCATGCAGCAAGACACCGATTAGTGCCACAGCATGTTTCCAAGTATCTGCTGCTGTTGAATCCTGTGGAGGAAGCTATTGAAGAAAGCTAGTGAAAGGATGGAGACTATATGGAACAAAATGTTAGTAGGGATAGGGGGAAACTGAGAGCTACACTACAAGCCAGGTTAAGTGCATAACAGGCAATTGACACTGACTTTCTTTTCTATTACTCCTATTCCCATTTAAGAGTTGCAAGGCCCACCACACATAGGCAACAGAGATTTGAATCTCCTCCTCTCTCAAAAACCTTCACACAACAAACCTACCCAAGGGCAAAAAGAGAGAAAGGCCTCAGTGGGTGCTAATACAACCTACTCCACCCCCTCCAACAAGGGGATAAAAATTAAGATAACAGAACAGCTGGTGGGTGGGTGTAAATCTACCTTATCCTCATGTGCTGAACCTAATTCACACTGGGCCCATATCCTTATCTGGGCGCGGAGAGGAAAGCCAATCACGATATGCAGTTTCGACCATTAAATAACAAAGAAAGTAAGGAAGGGAATCCATTTTGGAGAACTGCTAATAATTTTTAAATAACCTAACATCTAAATGTTTGTATTTTTAACAAAATGTTATTCTGCATTGATTATATGTGACTACTGCAATATACCTGCGTAGTGACTTCAATGGGATTACAGTTGCAATGTAAGGAAAGGTGCTATGAGAAGACAACTATTATCCTTCTGTTCTCCCAACTTTGTTGTTAGCCTTAGTTGTTCTAAATTCTGTGTCATCAAGTTTTCACATATGCTTGTTATGTGCAATTAAGTCACCTCCAACGTGAATGAGTGATCTCCAAAATGTTCCATCCTCAACAGCCCTCCTCAGCTCTTGTAAACTCAAGCCTATGGCTTCCTTTACAGAGTGAGTTCATTTTGTATTTGGTACTTCTCTTTTCCTGCTGCCTTCCACCCCTTCCCAGCATTTTTGTCTTTTCAGGGAATCCTGCCTTCTCATGATGTGCCCAAAGTAGGGCAGCCTCAGTGTCAATATTTTTGCCTCCAGAGATCGCTCAACTAGAAGCCACCATTTTAAATTTAACTCTAGGCTTCCTACAGTCCAGCAGAGTAATGCTCTATAGTCTATTGGAAGTTGTAATGCACTGTGGGAAATTTAAAACAGTTGTCATCTAGCAAAGTTGGGGACCGTGGAGAATACTATGTCAAGGATTTCCTGATCTAGTCATCAGGATCTAGTCATCAGATCTACCGTGTTTCTCCAAAAATAAGACAGGGTATTATATTAATTTTTACTCCAAAAATGCATTAGGGCTTATTTTCAGGGGATGTTTTATTTTACAGTCATGTCATCCATCATCTTCTGGTTGCTGCACAATGGTGGAGGGCGGGGTTTCACTTACCTGGGGCTTATTTTCAGAGTAGGGCTTATATATTATGAGCATCCTGAAAAATCATACTAGGTCTTATTTTCAGGTTAGGTCTTATTTTCGGAGAAACAGGGTAGTCATTAGATCTGGTCATAAAGATGTGATAAAACCCAAGACTGGCCAGAGTTCCCCTATAAGCACATGCTCAGTGGTAACCCCCCCCCAACCACTTGTCCAGAAAAGCTTAAGGCAGTGGTCCCCAACCTTAGGCCTCCAGATGTTTTTGGAATACAACTCCCAGAAGCCTTCACCACCACCTCTGCTGGCCAGGATTTCTGGGAGTTGAATTCGAAGAACATCTGGAGGCCCAAGGTTGGGGACCAGTGGCTTAAGGGACAGATGGCTCAGGACTAGAGTTGTAAAATTTCCAGAAATTTTGAAACCATATAAAATTACTTTGGAAAAAAAACCTGGTTTTTTCCCCCCCAATTTTTTCAGTTTTCCCCTCAGGCCCCTGGAAAAATGGGAAAAACAGGATGGGGGGAACAGTCCCCCCCCCCAAAAAAAAAGCTGTTTTCTATGGCTTCAAAATTTCCAGAAATGTTACATCTCTACTCAGGGCTGTGGCTAAGAAGCCCTCTAAATTTGGGCGTGAGATACCCCTGCCTGAAGCATTTTCCCAAGAGCAAAAATCCAACCCAAATTAGGTAAGACTTTCTTTATGGGAAACGGGGCACCGGTCTCAATGCCCTGATAAAACAGTCTCTTTCTGTTCCTAAGGATCAAGCTGCAACTTGCATGTAACTTCTGAAAAGAAATTGCCTAGGACAGGATGAAACCACCACCACCACCACCGACCCTCCAGATGTTATTAAGACTCTAGCTCCCATCAATATTTATTTATTGAAAATATTTTTAGCCCGCTTTTCTCCTTGAAGAGGACCCAATGTAGCTTCCACAACTAAAGTATTTAAAGTTGAAAACAGTTGAGTATACAACAGTGGTTAACCTTAGCCCTAGACTGCAGAGCAGATGATGAGGGATCATCCTAGGGTCAGTCGTTCAGCAACAGCTGGAGAGCCCCTGGGAAGAAGCATCAGCTCCAGCTGAACTCTGCAGTTGGCGGGAACCGAAACAGTGACAGCTGGGGATTATGGGCGTTGTAGTCTAAAACCAACTCTCCCAAGCTCCGCTTAAAGGAGTTAGAGCAAGCCAAGCGCTTTCTCCCACTCGCCCTCCTCCTCTGTCCGACTGAACAGGGAGACACGGAACAATGAATAAAGAGGCATCTTACATCAGCAGGCAATATTAAGGCAAAGCTGAATAAGTATACTTTTAAAAAAATAAATGCCACTCTGAGAAATGGAAAATACAAGTACTAAAAATCTAATCAAAGCAATAATGCATAGCAATCTATCTAAAAATCACCCATTATCCAAGAGTTGGGAGACACGTGAAAAAGGAGAAAGCACAAGGTTTCAGAGGCTGGAGTCTGACTCGGGTGTTACGACGAGGGGGAAGCCTGGAGGAGGAGGGAGGGACGGACCGACGTTTACACCCCCGACCCCCTCCCTCACCTGCTCGTTGCTCATGGCGGGACAGGGGTCGGCTTGTGCCTCCGCTGAATGTAATAAGGGGGAGGGGGAACGAAAAATGAAAAAGGAGAAAGCACAAGGTTTCAGAGGCTGGAGTCTGACTCGGGTGTTACGACGAGGGGGAAGCCTGGAGGAGGAGGGAGGGACGGACCGACGTTTACACCCCCGACCCCCTCCCTCACCTGCTCGTTGCTCATGGCGGGACAGGGGTCGGCTTGTGCCTCCGCTGAATGTAATAAGGGGGAGGGGGAACGAAAAAAGGCGGCAGCGGCGGTGCCGGCGGAAAGCCCCTGAGCTGAGACGCTGCCGCCGCGTCACCCCAGCTTTCCCTGCAGGATCGGTCCCGCAGAATGTTGTGGAGCCAGGGGGGGGGGAGATGCCCCGTTGCTTGGCAACAGCACCAGCTCCGCACACGCCCTCCCGGCCTCGCCCCGCCCCGCATCTCCGCGGAACGGAATCTCGGGCTTCCAATCCGGCTCTCACATTTCGAGGTTTTCATTGGTTGGCGGGAAAAGGGGGCGGGTCTCTGAAGCGGGTCGCGCCCCCAGTCCGACGTTTACTGGGCAGAATATTTATTGATGGGGGGGGAGAAGGGGAGGGGGGGGTATCTTCCCCCCCCTTTGGTGAAAATGTTTGGGTTGTTTTCTTTTGCACGATTACTTGGACTTCATTTAAGTGCTGGCGGGGATTGCTCTTTGTGGCTTGCCAGAGCTTCTTTGCTATTGATAGTTTTAGAGGAGGTAGCTATGTTTTCTGTCTCCTTGAGGGAAGTTTACAACAGAACCCTAAAAAAGTTGCTACCTTTATTTATTTATTGAAAATATTTTTAGCCCGCTTTTCTCCTTGAAGAGGACCCAATGTAGCTTCCACAACTAAAGTATTTAAAGTTGAAAACAGTTGAGTATACAACAGTGGTTAACCTTATTAAAATACAATATTTAAAACTACGAACAATGAATAAAGAGGCATCTTACATCAGCAGGCAATATTAAGGCAAAGCTGAATAAGTATACTTTTAAAAAAATAAATGCCACTCTGAGAAATGGAAAATACAAGTACTAAAAATCTAATCAAAGCAATAATGCATAGCAATCTATCTAAAAATCACCCATTATCCAAGAGTTAATGAATATTGAGAATGTTCTGCTTGTGAAACTGATATTTCATTCCACATGTCATTCTGCTTTCATATGTTTGAGGACGTGGATGTATCCACGGAAGCTCATATTAAAATATAGTTAGTCTTTGAAGTGCCCAATGTTCTTGTCCTGTTTTGTTTCTTTGGATTTTGCTCTCTGCTAGACAGAAATTCAAACTGGGTGGCAGATAGGTTCTGTAGAACAATATTGTGATATTATCTGTAGGATTGTTGTGATCACCTGTATCAATATCAATAGTAATTTTAATGTTCGGGTTTGACAGCAATTTTATAAATTCTACTTGTTACTACAACCAGAACAAGTAGGATTTGTGTGTGCCATGGTGATCAGTGGCATCATACATACAGCTAAGAGAGGAGTGAATGCTTCCACAAAAAATAATGGAGAATTCCCTGATGGAGTAGCTAAACTTTGCCTGTTGAGCTGGAGAGAGTCAACTGATTCCATATTCCCTGAGATTGACCCAAAAACCAGAACACCTAAGTTGATTCTTAAAAGTTTGTAGTTCTCCATCTTGGAATTACAGTGGTGCCTTGCTAGACAATGATAATCCGTTCCACTGAAATCGCTGTTTAGTGAAATCATTGTCTAGCGAAAAGCATTTCCCCATTGGAATGCATTGAAACCTTTTAATGTGTTCCAATGGGGAAGAATCGTCGTTGTCTAGCGAAGATCATCCATAGGAAAGCCGCTTTGCGAACCACCGATCAGTTGTTTAAATTGCTGTCTTGCGAAGCTTAGGTCCCCAAAACACCTGTTTCGCGAGCGTGGAGGAAGCTGTCAAAATCGTTGTCTAGCGAAAATCGGTTTGCGAAGCAGGGACCAAACATAGGAATCACAGTTTTGCGAATCGCTATAGCGATCGCAAAAAGTCAATGTCTAGCGAAAAAAAACTATCATGTGGGGTAACTGTCTAGCGAGGCACCACTGTATACCTCTAGTTTCTGCACTGAGCTGCCAAATCTGTAAGAGACTCTCATTTTCTCTCCCCACCTCCCCACCCCCAGTTCTGCAGTGCCCAGCCTGATAAAAAAAAATCTTGCCAGGTTCACGTTTTTACAGTTTCTCAGGGGTTCCAGAAAGATAGTACCCAAACGCTGTTACTAGCATATTTGGTTTTACTAAGGGCTCGTCCACACTGCTCATTTTGGAGCAGGCTGCTACAGACTAAGTAGGGTTGCTTGAGGTTGGGTGGAGGTGCAATATGCCACTTGGTGTGACCCTCACATCCAAGTGGCATTGTCATAGTTCAAGTGACCCTATTTGGTCCAGTTCCTTGTGTTTTGAATTTCTGATACTGTGATTTGACTTAAAAAGCAAGCCACTTCAGGATATCACCAGACTGAATATTTCCTCTGCTCCTCAGCAGAGGGGCATTGAACGTGATTTTTTTTCCAGATTGGTGTACCATCGCCGATGCACTGCACCACTTATAAAGCAATAAAAACATTGTGTGTGGGGGGGTGTTTTTGTTTTGTTTTGTTTGCTGTCTCTTAAAGGACTAGTCAAGAAATGGCAACTGTCTAGCGAGGCACCACTGTATACCTCTAGTTTCTGCACTGAGCTGCCAAATCTGTAAGAGACTCTCATTTTCTCTCCCCACCTCCCCACCCCCAGTTCTGCAGTGCCCAGCCTGATAAAAAAAAATCTTGCCAGGTTCACGTTTTTACAGTTTCTCAGGGGTTCCAGAAAGATAGTACCCAAACGCTGTTACTAGCATATTTGGTTTTACTAAGGGCTCGTCCACACTGCTCATTTTGGAGCAGGCTGCTACAGACTAAGTAGGGTTGCTTGAGGTTGGGTGGAGGTGCAATATGCCACTTGGTGTGACCCTCACATCCAAGTGGCATTGTCATAGTTCAAGTGACCCTATTTGGTCCAGTTCCTTGTGTTTTGAATTTCTGATACTGTGATTTGACTTAAAAAGCAAGCCACTTCAGGATATCACCAGACTGAATATTTCCTCTGCTCCTCAGCAGAGGGGCATTGAACGTGATTTTTTTTCCAGATTGGTGTACTATCACTGATGCACTGCACCACTTATAAAGCACATTGTGGGTGGGGGGGTGTTTTTGTTTTGTTTTGTTTGCTGTCTCTTAAAGGACTAGTCAAGAAATGGCCAACAGCCAAATCCACCCATTCGGTTGTTGGCAGTTTCTCAGCTGGCCCTTCAGAGATTTTCAAAACATCTTCATAAATGATGAAGAGCATCAGCTATGATATACCAGAATCTTGGGGGTGGGTGGGGGAAAATCACTTTCCCTCCCTACAGTTTCTCAGGGGTTCCAGAAAGATAGTACCCAAACGCTGTTACTAGCATATTTGGTTTTACTAAGGGCTCGTCCACACTGCTCATTTTGGAGCAGGCTGCTACAGACTAAGTAGGGTTGCTTGAGGTTGGGTGGAGGTGCAATATGCCACTTGGTGTGACCCTCACATCCAAGTGGCATTGTCATAGTTCAAGTGACCCTATTTGGTCCAGTTCCTTGTGTTTTGAATTTCTGATACTGTGATTTGACTTAAAAAGCAAGCCACTTCAGGATATCACCAGACTGAATATTTCCTCTGCTCCTCAGCAGAGGGGCATTGAACGTGATTTTTTTTCCAGATTGGTGTACTATCACTGATGCACTGCACCACTTATAAAGCAGTGAAAACATTGTGTGTGGGGTGTGTGTGTGTTTTTTTGTTTTGTTTTGTTTGTGGTCTCTTAAAGGACTAGTCAAGAAATGGCCAACAGCCAAATCCACCCATTCGGTTGTTGGCAGTTTCTCAGCTGGCCCTTCAGAGATTTTCAAAACATCTTCATAAATGATGAAGAGCATCAGCTATGATATACCAGAATCTTGGGGGTGGGTGGGGGAAAATCACTTTCCCTCCCTCTCCACTGAGCAGCAGAAGAAATGTTCAATTTCCCAATGTTCTGAAGTGGCCGTGCGTGGTATCAGAAATTCATAACAAAAGAAATTGTGATAACCAGAAGGCGCACTTTTGGTCCTTTTGGAGCACTGGAAATAGACTAAATCAGAGTTTTCCTTCCTGTACCAAAAAAAAGTAGACATGAAAGGTGCAGGAAGGGACGCCCTCAGGATGGTTTGGTTTGCACCAGGGATCATGTTATGTATCCACCAGAAAAGCGAGTGTACCAGCCCATCCCTGTAGCAGACCCAACAGCAGCCTGGCTGATCACCTCATCTTCTGTATGCTTTCTTTCCCCACCCCATTGCAATTATAAACAAAAATGAAAACCCACTCTCGCTTTTTAAAGAAATCAACTACTCTGAGAAGAAATACTAAATGTGACTGAGGAGATACTGCCTGTACACTGGAGAGCGCCGGGGGTGTACCTTTCAGCTAACTGTTAAGTCTACAAGTGGACTCCACAGCAAAAGGGGACAGTGATGGAGCTGGTCAGCCAGCCACAGCCCTTCCATTCCATCTCCCGCACAGTGCGCTATCCATCCCCCCAAAGGTCCGTCTGTATTCTGTGACCACTGAGTACTCTTATGTCTTCATTAGGCTACAGAGGGTGCAGGTCCATATCCTTCCATTCTTGTTGGGATTTTGCATCAAACACTCAATCCCACCACCACCCATGTTTCCTGATAACCATTTTTCTGTGTGGCTGGTTGCCAGTTTGGATACAGGAGCAAGGACACTCATGACTGAACATAGAGATAGGTATTTATTGTACGTACTATAAGGCAATCCTCTTTGCATAACAGGTGATGAATGAGGAAAGTGGAAAGAATATGGACCCCATCATCTACTGCTGTACTAGTCAGCATAGCCAATGGTGAGGGATGATGGCAGCTGTAGTGCAATGAGGCCCAGAGGCTCACCTAAAGCCCCTTTCCCTAAGCATCTCAGAAACGGAGAGCCGGAAGGGACCTGCTATGTACTAAAGAGATGCGATGGAAAAGTACTTTAATTGGCCTGTGCACTTACAGGGATAAGAGCTCAAAATGCAGCATATTCCCTCACTTTCATGGGGAATTCAGAGATGGATACAAGTACCTTTGAGTCATCAAAATAGCTAGGCACACACTTTACAGGCCATGCAAATCAAAGCCACATTTTAGGAATGAGCAGTAATTTGGATTTATCTTTATAGGTGTAGTAATTTTATTGCACCATTAGGAGGCATTACATTCCCTTCCAACCTGAGCTCTACAA